TCTCAAGTTACACGTTAAAGCCTTTCACCCGTGGGCACTAAATGAAAAAAATATAATAAAAAATGAAGCAAAGCTAATGAAAGGCCGCGTTTTGACCTATTTTTTTTTACGAATCGACGATACATCGTACGCATTAAAAAAGCGCCCAGGTGGAAAACCGTGTTGAAACTTTTAATTGCAAATAATACAAAGAGAAAATTATGTCAGCTTTTCCGTGAGTTTTGAAATTTCAGAGATGGCGTTTCCGGTTCCGGACTATTGACCGAGTGAGTTAAGCGCTAGTGCAATCATAATGTCAAAAGCTAAATTTCAAGCAGAAACTAACCTAAAAGCCTTTCAAACCATTAGTTATCGACCACCGAGCTGCAATTTATCATTTAAAAAAATTATATTTGTTGATTATAACTTTTAAAAATATAAAGTTAAGAATTTTATTTAAAAATAAACATTTAATTCGAGGTGAAGCACGACTTTTTTTTCTGTAAAGAAATATGCATTTTAGCAAAAGCTCTTCTCCTCATTTGTGATTCTTGGAAAATGATTTCGTACTTGGATAGTCGGAAAAGTCGTTTCCCCGTCGAATAAAACATTTAATCTGGTTATGTACGGCCTTTTTGTAGGTTAAAAGCGACCTATATTGAAATCTCTTAATGAAACATCTCAACCTTTTCGTTTTACCCCATGCGACATCCACGTTGTTTATTTCAATTTGTTGGAAGTTTATATTCAATTATTTAAGCCTGTAAACGGAGCGAAATTAAAGATTTGATGATGTTTGTTTAAAAGTGGGTAAAGCATAAAGGTCAATTTGAATCACGAAGGCGCATAAATTGGTTTTAAATGCAAAAATTCCCTGTGACCTAAATTGAATTTTGCCCAATTGTTAAAAATAGCTTTTTAAAAACAAACCCATTACAACCAGTATATTATAATGGTGAATTTTTGAATCACGAAGGCGCATAAATTGGTTTTAAGTGCAAAAATTTCCTGTGACGTAAATTGAATTTTGCCCAATTGTTAAAAATAGCTTTTTAAAAACAAACCCATTGCAACCAGTATATTATAATGGTGAATTGTTCGTTAGAATGTTTTTGTTAAAGGGGAAATGTGACATTAAACTAACCTATCGTTGATAGACCCGAAAATTTATGGTTGTTTGGCGTTGCTTAGTTAGTAGGTATGTTCGTAAAGCGAAATGAGAACAAATAATCAGCAATTAGTAACCACAAAATAAAAATGGATTAATTCCTAAATTAATTTTATCCCTACTATTATGATTAGTGTTTATATTCCAGTTAGCCTTGATTAAGAAATGTAAACGAACAAAGATTTGTATATGTTTGTATATTTTAATTCTGTTTTATATAATATACTATATAAAGGATTGGAACATATTTACTGAATATCAAAACTTGGGTTAGAAATGCTTTCATAACCGGCCCTTCTAGTAGAGTTAAAGTTCTCATAACCTAGTTAAGAAGATTGTGTTGTATTTTAATATGCTCAAGTGAACCTAAAGGAGTTACCGAAGATTGGGTATTTTTTGAAACAAATGTAAATATTAGAACATATCCATTAGAATGTTTTAAATGTTAACGCTGCCTTCGTAGATGTCGTCAAATTTCCTGAGGAGAAACATAACATTATCTTCAAAACGATCAGAAAACCCACCTATAAAATAACAAAGTATTACCGATGCATCGTAGGGAATTTAATATGATTGATTCGAATAATAATTTATCATGGGACTTTTTAGGCATTCTTCTCTATAGTTTAGCAACGCATTAACGGAAATGTATTGAAAAGTGACCGACAAGTGTCCACGTTTACGTCAAGTCTATCGCAAAACGCGATCGCAGGAAAGTAACATGGCGGACATTCAGGTGAACAACGCACCTTTTACACAAACTTAAATCCCATTAATGACTTCGTAATTTATTCTGCGTCAGCTACGCTTCGCTCGAATTTAATTGAATCTAGCCGACCATATACCTTTTCTCTTTGCTCCCGATTTATTTTTAAAAACCCGACGCACGTTAAATACAAAATTATGCCTGAAATTCAATCTGACGTGTTCGCCTTGAAAATCGATAGGGCCGGAATTAAAAGAACAATGAGCGCGGAGCTTTTCGGAAACAGTTTTGTCATAGACAGCATGGAACATAATATATATTGTCTATACAGACCGCATCGCTATTAGGGCGAACAAGATCCGATATTTAATTGTTTGGTATACAGATTTTTGTACTGATTCGGGTGTTTGTAAAAGTTACATTTTGATCAAAATCATGGGAGTATAGAATAGTATGGAATAGAGAAAAATTCTCTGCAATTACCTGTGGATATCCTCTATAAGCTAAATAAAAATAATTAATTTAATGGTAAAACTAATAATAACCTTCCAATCTCGGACATTCTTATCAATAAGAAATCAGACCTAACATTGGGTCATTGTGTTTACAGAAAACCTACACGCACAGACCGATACCTTAATGCATGGTTACATCACCATCCAGCCCAAAAATCATAGGTAACTAACTCCCTTGTTTACAGAGCCGTAAAACTATCTCAGCCCGAGTCACTGAACCCAGAATTAAAACATTAATTCAACATCTTTCTCTGCTCTTCTCTCTAATAATTTCCACATTAAAGATATTAAGCGTTCGATATACACTTCACCACAATCTTCCAATAGCAATCAGGCCGAAAGCAATCCTACACTTGCGATTTACATTCAAAATATCACTGACCACATATCAAAAGTTCTGAAGAAGTCCAAAATCTCTCGACATCTTCGGTCCGTCAAAGGTAAAATTAAATTTGAGATGTCAGGAGTTCACAGCATTCCATCGGTCGAAAAATATCAACCAGGCTCAAAGAATACGAAAAAACTTTACGACTAAGACAAATAAACCCATCAGCTGTTGCCGAACACAATCACGAAACCGGATATAAAATTTTATTTGATAAAACTAAAATTCTTGCATGTAATCAATTTTTCTACCAACAAAAAATCCGAGAATCTATAGAAATCTATAAAGAACCTAATGCCCCTCATTTAGCTCCGCCCTTCTCAAACAGTATATAGGCAGGTACAGAGTAAAATGCGATTCAGTTCTCTGAAGAAGCCGACAGGATGATTGGCGAAACGTCAGCAAGTTCGACTCAGCGAAAAACGACGCAGTAAAAAATATTACAGTAGTTTGTGAAAGTTTCATTGAAAAATAATTAATTTTCTCGGTCATCACTCCAGAGATATTTGAAACTGCATGAAGCAGAATAACTTGATTCAGTTATTGTTGTACTTGTTGACAGAATAAAATACATGAAGTGCAAAACATGTTAATTAAATTGTGAATTAATAATTTCAGGACACCCTGTATGATGTATCGCAATTAGAACATCTACAACTCTTACATTCATGCTTTGTTCAACGTAAGGAAGTAAAGGTGTTTCGGAATTTAAATGTAATTTTCGTAATAATGATTTTCTAAAATATGACGTTAACTATTTTTTTTCTCGAAACCCGTAGAAGATAGGCATGGGTACGTATGCAAAAGTTGTTTTAAATTTTGCATAGAATCAAAATCTGTAATTTGAAATTCCAAAATTGATATTCTTTTCGGTTATATATAGCAACGCAGCATTTGCCAATAATATTTTTAAAAAATGGACACGTATTAATGGACGTAACTTTGAAAAGCAGGACTTCATGTGAACAACTTCGAACACCAAGAGAATATTACGATCCAAATATTCTTCCAAGTCAACTAAGTATTGTTATGTTTTAGAATTAAGTCACTCCGCCCAAAATTTATCAAAATTGAAACTTTCATTTCGTCCAAATTAACAAACTCCCTCACTATTTACACACTGATATTTACTACTATACACACTATTTATAATTTATATAGCGCCTATTTAGTCAGTTGACTATTTATATTTCAGCGCTGCACAATTTCATTTTTCGACTCACAGGCGGGGAGCGATGCTTTGCGATACAACGCAGAACTTCTCGCAGTGTGGCTTGAATATTCTATCGTCTTCTCGACATGCGTCACAGTATGTTAAGACTTGCGGTCCTTTTTTTGTCGAAAGACTTATGGTTAGGAAGCACAAGATCAGAAAGTGAATCAAAATATCGCTCAATAGAAAATTCCAGTCAAAAGGAGAGTATAACTGAGTGTTCTTGAAGAATCGCTCTGCCATCAGTTTTCTAAATTAGTTTTCAATATTATTCGACACCATATTGACTAGCAGAAATTTTCCATTTTTTTCTGGCCATTAAAAATTTGCAATAAGAAAAATTCCCAACATTTAGGAATATATTCCATATTATTTCTTGCTGCAAATTCAGGAAAAAATAATTGGTCCAAAAACTTAATACAAAAGAACGTATTGAATTATTCCTTTTACACATTTATGATCTACTTTGCGTCACAAGCAATCCCATCTATAGCTATGCGGACGACAGCAGGTTTGTATCTTCCTTTTCATCCAACAAGCCCTTAACATCTGCTGGAGAGTGTTGGTATAACTGAGTGTTCTTGAAGAATCGCTCTGCCATCAGTTTTCTAAATTAGTTTTCAATATTATTCGACACCATATTGACTAGCCGAAATTTTCCATTTTCTTCTAGCCATTAAAAATTTGCAATAAGAAAAATTCTCAACATTTAGGAATATATTCGATATTATTTCTTGCTGCAAATTCAGGAAAAAATAATTGGTTCAAAAACTTAATACAAAAGAACGTATTGAATTATTCCTTTTACACATTTATGATCTACTTTGCGTCACAAGCAATCCCATCTATAGCTATGCGGACGACAGCAGCCTTGTATCTTCCTTTTCATCCAACAAGCCCTTAACATCTGCTTCCTTAATTCAACGAAGACAACACCAAATTGGGTCAATAAATAACGATCTGGAGGAAATACTGATGTGGGGTCAAAGTAACCTGGTTGAATTTAATGCTATGTGCAAGAATCCGGCATTGTTATGGACGGAAACAGTTTGCCTCGGTCGTCTTCCCTGTCTCTCCTGGGAGTTAATGCCAGCACTAATTTCTCCTGGCACAAGCACGTCGTTGGTTTGGCAAAGATCGCTGCACAGAGATTGGGCTTTCTGTTCCGTGCTAAAAGATATTTCACTTCTGCACAGCTTCTTACTCCCTACAAAGCACAGGTCAGACCAGTTATGGAGTATTGTTCTCATACTTGGAGCTCGGCCCCTAAGCATACTTTGGCAATTTTGGACTCCATTCAGAGAAGAGCTGTGCGTCTTGTCGACGATCCGGCACTGACCGGCTCTCTGCAATCACTCAGTCATAGAAGAAGGGTTGACGATTTATCTTTGTTCTATAGATACTTTCATGGGCAATGTTCCGACCAGCGTGCTGAGCTCATTCCACCTAGAGCGAGGTTTGGTCGTTCTACTCGTCAGGCAGTATCAGCACATCGCTATACAGTCCGCCTCGAAATCCCGCGAACGTCAGTGTAACAAAACTCATATTTCTGGCGAGTATCAATCAAGCTTATGGAATTCTCTTCCGGATAGTGTATTTCCAGCGAATATAACTTACAGAGGTTCAAAAGAGCAGTCAATAAACATCTTTCTTCTCCTCCTCGCAGTGTAATCTAGTGCACCATAGGCTTGTCCTTTTCGAGTTGATTTCGATTAAAAGGAAAAATAGAAAAAATCATTCTGTAAAAGAACCAGTTAGATACTTAATTTTTGTGCTTTAATAACTAATTAATAACGTGTTTATGAAAAAGGAAATATTTAGTCTCTGGCGGGCTTTCAGCTCGAAAAGAATTTTCTTACAACGAATTGAAATTTATTCAGTTTGGATACTTTTTATGCGTGGGCTATGATTAAATTTCGATCACGACATGAATGTCTTAAAAATGAGAGAAGCCCCAGCAAAATTTAATTAAAATTATAATCAGTTCCAGAGGATACTGGTAATCAGAATTTAAAGCTTGTTCTAGATTTGTTAGCTTGTTTTATCGTATTAATTTGACAAAATATTTTCATAGCCGTTCGGGTTTAGATCGCGCCTTCAAAGCAATGATCGAATTGAAGCAATTCCACTGTAAAATAAATGGTTGATACTTAAGTAAGTATGTAGGATAGAGTTCATTACTACTCATTTTTTATATCTTTAGAAGTATTTGTTTGTGCAAAATTTTAAAATAAAAAAAAATTCTTGGAAACTAATTGCACATGGTATCTCAGTCAACATATGCTGAAAATAAATACTTTTTGAGATAATAAATGTTTTTTGAAAATTCCAAAAGTTCATAATTGTCACCTATAAATTTTTTATTTGCCATACTGAATAGGTCAAGTTTGTAACCCTGGTATATTCAATAGCCCATTGTCTATGAAAGAGGTGATTTTGCCATTATTATGAACGTGCAGTGATTCAAGAACAAAAATCTTACTGGGAACTATTTTTAGTTAAAACTTTGAGTTAGTTTGGGAGGTCTAAAACAACAAGACTCAATCAGCGTATTTACAGATACGAATTGACAGGCATTGGAAACGAATTTTTATATATATATATATATATATATATATATATATATATATATATATATATATATATATATATATATATATATATATATATAATAATTATGTATTAATTTCAGATATTCAACGATACCCTTCTGTTTCAGAAACCTTTTTCATTTTGAGATGGAGCCATGGACGGTGAAAACCGCATCATCTTAAATGTCGGCGGAATCCGTTATGAGACTTACAAAGCGACGCTCAAAAAAATTCCTGCTACAAGATTGTCTCGATTAACGGAGGCTTTAGCAAATTACGATCCAATTCTGAACGAATACTTCTTTGACAGACATCCGGGAGTATTTGCCCAGATTCTGAACTACTACAGGTGAGTCTGAAACAGAGCAATCATCAAAGTTCTTTTGAAATTTTACTTCTGTCTACTTTCCATAATATGAAATATGTAAGCAAATTATAATGTAATTTTCTATGTTTCTTATTTTGTCAAATTTAATAATCTAAATATATCAAAAGAATGAGAGTTAATATAGTAGTAACAATTCAGGCATTTTAGTCATTCGCTTATACACGGTGTCCCAAATAGGCGGTACAGTTTTGGCGAATTCAATTAACAAAATCCCAAGATTTTCAAATGGATCACACTATATTTTTATTCAGATATCAATTCTAGGATTAAAAATAAGGTTCTCCCAGACATCAACTTTGTTATTTTAAATGGAACGCACTGTATATTTCAACGTTTGTGGAGTCCTTGGTTAAAATAAAGGTCACTTTCTTGAGAAATTCCTATTTGCATTTTTCATAGTTTAGGCAGAAATTGGGGTTATGTGTTATTTCTATTTATTCAGGTATTGCAACCAAAATTTAACCAAAGACTAAGGAAATGATGCACTACTCAATCAGTGTGACAGATGCGCCGCAGCTAATATAGGATGTCTCAAACAGGTAGTGCCGTTTTGGCGAATTCAATTAACAAAATCTAAAGAATTTCAAATGGAAAACCCTATATTTTTATTCAGATATCAAATCTAGGATGAAAAATAAGGTAAGTTTGTAATTTATCTTATATTCAAATTTTACTTACTTTTTGAGATATTCGAGGTATAGCGCGTCACAATGCTGGACTCCGCATTTCTAACTATTATTTAATGCAAGATCTGTTTTATTTAGTTTTTTAACCTCGAAATTTTTGAAACCTCGAATATCTCAAAAAGTAAGTAAAATTCAAATATGAGATAGATTACAAACTTATCTTATTTTTTGTCCTAGAATTGATATCTGAATAAGAATATAGTGTGTTCTATTTTAAAATCTTGAGAATTTGTTAATTTAATTCGCCATAACGGCCCCGTCTATTTAGGACACCCTGTATTAGCTGAGGCGCATCTGTCAAACTGATTGAGTAATGCATCATCTCCTTAGTCCGTGGTTAAATTTTCGTTGCAATACTTGGATCAGTATCGTCACGACACAATTTTATATGTGGCAATCAAAATATGAAAAAACTATGCAAAATTTGAATAATAATTGCTTGAAAAAGTGGCCTTTAATTTAACCAAGGATTCCAAAAATGTCGAAATATATAGGGAGTCTAGTGGATCGTTTTATTTGGCTAACGATGTACGTTTTCACGTATAACGTTTGATATTTGGGCAAAGTTTCAAATTTCACCAGAATCCTAAAATTATTTGGGCGAATGTTAGAGGGAGATTCAGAAAGGTCGACGTTAAGGTTCACCCTACGTTAATTCTTTGCTGGCTTTTATATATCGTATCGTAAAGCTGTCAGTCGGTCATCCTATTCGAAATTCTCATTTAGGAGCCGAAATTTTGTTTGGGACAAATTCGTTTCACAATGGACGTTCTGCGAATTTTGTGTACGCTTTACCCGTGAACCCAATTCAATCTATGACCCAAATCTTTTAAATCTTTCCCTCCTCCATAGACATACCTATGATGGATAACATAATTGCGCATCGTATAACGAAGGGCCCTGGCTTTATTATTAAATCATCCACGCGGCAAATTCCAAAATAGCTTTGTCTAAATTATCACGTCCAGAGTTTCTACAGGCTTTGCGGAGACAGAGGGAGAGAGAGAGAGAGAGAGAAAGAGAATGTGTGTGTGTTGTTTATTTCTATACGGATTGATATCGCCTTTTATGACTTTGCGAATAAATCCAAGACGGAACGCGTTTAACGGTTGAATTATTTAATATGCATTGAATTTAATGTAACTGGAGGTTCATTTTAAGAAGATTTGCTTTGGATGTGTGCAAAGCAAATATACGGTTCAGTTTTATTACGCTGCTGAACAAAAATCAGATGCGGGTTTGCGGAAGAAAAGCATCTCGACATTTAAGAGTGACAATATTAGAAAATGTTTTACGTTGCGAGGCAGAATTTAAAAGTAAGTATATTGGAAGGCGCCAAAACTTGTGCACAAGATACGAGGAGAAATCTATTTCAGATCAACTTAATTCTACTAGTTTAACAAACAGAAAATTTCCCCTCTTCTTTTTTTTTTTTTCAAGTGCCGTGTAAGTTCAGAACATTGGCAATCAGTCGCATGATTTTCACTTTGTTCGCAGCAGATCCAAACAATGTAGTGGTGCTTACTCCATACCACTGACGAAGATTTTTGAGCAAAGACGTTTTTCGGCGACCAGGACCACGTTTTCCCTCTCTATTTTTCCTTGAATGATATATGGAGCAACTCATATTTTTTATTTCTAACTACGTCGCAAAATACTCCAGCTTTCTTCATTGAATGGTATTAAGTACCTCTCCTTCTTTGTTCATATGTTGCAGAACCGCTTGTCACTCTGTCCCCTCATGATAACTTCAGCATTCTCCGGCAAACCAACATAGCAACGCAATAAGCGTATTCTTAAGGGAATTCTTAAAGCTCTGTTGGTTAACACATTTTGCATGTTGTTAAAAGATGTTCTTGCTTCTTTATTCTGTTTTTGATTTTTTGAGTTGAGTCCCCGTTTTCATTATATTTTTTATATGTTATATGTTTGTACTCTCCCCACTATTTCTCCATTTCCGCTGATATCTGTTAAGTTATTGGTTATGTTTTTGTTTTTCCTAATACCTATTTATTTAGTTTTCTTTATATTCAAGTGTAGACCCATTTGTTGTCTGTGACCACTGATAAAAGTAGCTGTAGATCATCCTCATCTGTGCTAGTACGACCTTGTCTTCACCGTATCTTAAATTGTAGATGAGGATCTCCATTAGCAATTACACCCTCTGATCTTCCTTCGACGGCTTGCCTGAAGATAGTTCGTTAAGTCTTATGTCAGCTGTCTACTTCCAGTATAAGTTGGCTATTATCCGAATGTCTCGACCGTCCAGGCTATGTTGTCCAGCATAGCTATTAATTTACCATGCTAAACAGTATCAAATGCATTTGCGTAATCTATGAAGCAGGTATATACATCAGCGTTCAGATCTAGACATCGCTGTATGAGAAGCTGGATGCTAAACAGCGCCTCACTTGTGTCGAAGCCAGTTTCAAAAAACAAAATACATGAGAGCAATGAAAGTTGACCCGAACCAGTCTTTAGGAATTATTCCGGTTTTGTATATGCAGTTTACCAAACTTACCAGAAGTGTGAAAGCGCTATCTTCTTCCAACGTTTTTAATCTGTATTTCGTCTGGTCCTGCTGCCGTTCCATTTTTTACACTTGATATAGCGTGTACGAGTTCTGCCTGGGAGATATCCATCCTGTCTTCTCGAGTAATACTATGTGAAATATGAAAAATTTTTTTCCATTACTGTAATTGTTCTTCTGTGATACTAAGAATTTGCTGTTGATCATTCAAGAGACTGTTTTTGTTGCTCTTTTTATGTCGACCAGTTGCCTGTCTGATTTTCTTGTACATATTAAAAAAGTCATGCTTGGCTACTAACTGCTATATTTCGTTGCACTGTCCTGTTAATTATAATTATATTTCGCTTGTCTACTCTTAGCTCTAATTTCTTTGTGGATTGCTTTGTATACAGTAGGGTCTTTAGTTTTATATGATCTACGGCAAACCATTAATTACAGGATGTCATCGGTGATCTAAGCTTTGTGTCTAGTTTTCGTTTAGTTTTAGCTTAGCTTGACTAACCTCTATTACGGATGTTTCTTGAATTTAATTCTTCTCCCACTTCTGATCTTATTGCTGAAACTAAAAGCTTTCTTGTATCTATAGCTTGTATGGCCTGAGAGTTTCTGATCTTTTTGAGCGATCTGTGAATATATCTGCGTCTGGGTGGGTCTGGGTTTGTTTGGTATTCCTGAATCTTTTGTTAATAATGATGATTTGGTTCCGTACATTTTTATCTACATTTTAAATCCATGTATATAGATGCCTTGGAGGTTGCTTAAAATATGTACATGCCATAATCGATATCCCCGATCATTTGATTTACCTAAGCGATAATCACCAACGATTTCCTCTTTTCGACCTTGGCCTACCTTTGCATTTATTTAGTGGGTGAAGATGTTTTGAAAAATCATTGACAAGGGATAAAATCTCAATCTACTGGTCATGACCAATGAAACTTACATGCGACATTTTTTTTTCCTAAAATCGTATTTCGAATTATTTCATAAGCATTATTGATATTTGTTCGTCAGTTTTTCCAAATAAGTGGTAAATATCAGAAAAATTTCCTTTGCTCTAGGAAAGCAAATGTTACACAGATGAGTTGAGATCGGTTTGCGTATTGCAGGTTTTGTCGAAAATCTTGGAAATAATATGCAAATTGCATTTGCAAAATTATTAGCTCTTACCACGAAGTCAAACAGGGTTTCGAAAATATTACAGTTGTCTGACTGCTCTGTTACAAGTTACAGATGATATTTTTAGCGTATCAGATATTTTCAAGATTTTTGACAAAATGGATGATGACATTCATTTTCCATTTTGTTCTACTTAGGATTTTCGGAGAGTGTGACGGGACACACATGGATTTTTTTTTAGATGAAAAGACGAAAATAAAAGTAGTGACACATGTTTTAAAATTTTTAAATGAACCCGTTTCTCTCATATTAAAAGATACAAATTAAAGATTTTACACTAATCAGTGAGTTTTCGAAATGTATTGGACACCAGAGATTTAGCAGTTATTTTTCAAAGACCCTTAGAAAGTTTATGACAAACGGCCTTATGAAAAAATGGTGGACATATTGAAAACTGCACTTTCAAGCAAATCCCAATGAACGACAACCAGCTAACCTAAAGTAGACCATGAATAATGATTTAAAAAAAGATGCAAGGTCGGGATATCTTTATCTTTTCTAGCAATAATTAAAAAGCTTGCTTCGAAATTTAACACCACAAAAATTACGTTTATGATTGTCAGCAAACAAAATACAAATGCTCAGTCGTTTATTGGCCAAAAAGTGATCATAAACTTACGAATGTCAATTTTGCTTGTTATGTATTTCCTTCGTGGATACGGGAAACACCATGAACAGGTTAGAACTATCGAATTATAATGTAACGACGCATTAAAAACTAAGAACGTAGCTAAATTGAAAATATATTCCTTTCTGAACAACCTGTGTGGAGTGGTTCGACTAGTCAATCAACGACTGTCAGTCATTCGTTGATAAATAAAACTCGAAGAAAAAATACGACAGAGAGAGTGAGAGGGAGAGAGAGAAATAAACGTGTTTTTTTGTATTTTCTCTTTAGCGTAACTCATTAAACCGTGCAAGATACAGTAGTGAGGATAATTTTTGGAGAGTATGATTCTGGTATATATTTCTATTGCATATAGAAGACACGTACTTTTTTTACAGGGGTCGATTTTCAGGTTGGTAGCAGCTGATCCGAGTAATACTGGCTGGGCTTCTTGCCAAGTCTATGTGCTGGATGGATAATCTCTTAAGAGCAGCATAATTGCAAATAATCATAACATAATATCAAAATAAATAAGAATTGAAAGTTCAGATTTTCACGAAATTATATATTTTGACATGACAATTGTTTCGACAACACCGTGTCTTTATCATAAAGACACGGTGTTGTCGAAGCAATTGTCATGTCGAAATATATAATTTCGTGAAAATCTGAACTTTTAATTCTTATTTATTGTGATAAATGGATTTTCATCAAGTAAAAGCCTCCTCAGTTCGATAACATAAGATGCTAAAGCCGGCTGATTAAAGCGAGATGTTTCTTTCCACTGTTTTAAAAACAATACAATTTTCGAAAAAGTATTATAAATTTTATTTTTAGTACAATAAAGCAAATTTAAAGTAGCAGTTTTAAACAGTTCTCCAAATAGATAGATAGATAAATTTATTTAGCCATTTTTCACATAAAAAGTCTTTACAACAAATCTCGCGTCAGTAGTATGGACAAATAAATCGTATAAAGAGAGTCTTAAGATAGAAAAATAGAAAAATTCCATGCAATATGACAAAATATACAATAGACATACGCTATAAAAGTGCAGTATGTAAATTATAAAGTGTAAAAACGATGGAATCTAAAATTTAACAGAAAACGTAAATATAGATAGGTAGATAATAAAACATATGTTGATCTAAACTTCGTGTTTGGCCGAAAGGGTGTATTCTGTAATTGAGTAAACAGCATGCTCCGGAAGAAACAGTCTAACTTCTCTGGAGAATTTAGACTGCAATAAGCTTTTGATATGTTGAGGAAGAATATTGTACATGTCGGTGCGAGGCTTATTCCTTGCCGAGGTCGTCAGTCAGGAATAGTATGGTACGATCAGGTCTGCCTGTCTGGTGTTGTGTGATGTCTGTCAGAATGTCTTTCAAAAGCATGAATGTTTTCATGGATGTGCACGGTAAATGAAAATACTAGGAGTGTCATGATTTTTAGCCTCTTGAAGATAGGGCGATAATGTGCCAGGGGTGTTGATCCGTGAATTGTACGTATAATACTCAATTATTTGAAAAACAAAAATTGGTAAATTTCGGTTAGTTTTGGAAATTAAACATTAGAGTTTTACAGATTTTTATGCCGTATGCGTTTAAGTATGTTTCAAACTCTATGTATATTAAGTATTATAACAAGTTTTTCTTCATTTGGCAATATGTAGTTCGGTTTTTGTGTCTACAAAACGGTGTTCTGCCCTAAGAGTTTTGGGATTTCAGCAGGAAATAACTTAAAAAAACAAACCCGAAAGAGGACACAAAAATAGCAACCCTTCCTCATCCGGTTGAATGCGGGGAGTTAATTTTTAACCAGCAAATCAGGGTAGCTCAGTTTTAAGTAGGTGATTTACCACTATCGTACTATCTATACTTTATCGTCATTTTAAAATACGTTGAGAAATACGATGGAACTTTACCATCTGACATACTTTCGACTAATATCTGTTGTATGCAATGCAAATCGATTTCACGAGAATATTAATTAAAAAATCCCACAGATAAATATTCTTTGTTCGCTTTTGCTATATTAGGAATAAAGGGTGATCACTATTTTTAAAGCTTTTAATTGCTAATTAGTTTAGGTCAAATGGGATAAAAGTCGCTTATTTATAAGCTGCCAGAAGTAAATTGTTAGACGGGGACTAAGGAATATATTAGGAAAAAAATATTTTGTTCTTTCTTTCAATTTTAAATTATTACTATTTTGGTGCATTTTTAGATTTTTATCTTAACTTCTTATTGACTATTACAATGGTATAAAAAAGAACTACTTCTTGTTTAGTTAGTTACGTTTAGATACAGTAATAAGAATAAAATTTGCTGAGATAAATTTGTTGCACAAAAATACAGGGCCTTTCTGTTTAAGGTTTCGATGTTGCAGTGGTAGTTCAAAATTGTAGACAATTGTAGACAAGAAGAAACTTGTATTTGACATTGTGGTTTGTAAAATTTGAAATAATGGTGCTAAGGAATTAATTTTTCCTAAAATATTTCTTAGTTCACCTCGCATGTCTCATTTTGACAGAAATATGGATATACATTTAAATGCATTTTGCTTATTTTAAACGATTCTTATATAAGAAACCTACACAAATTTAAAAGTATGTTCTAAATCTGTTGAATTCACATTTAGTGTAAAAAGTGGAGATATCTGGATTTGAGTGGACGGTCCTCATATTTGACTAATTTTATAAGAACGTCTATAGCTGTATTGTAATGTATTGATCTGAACATTCTTTCGATTTGCTTTGTTGTAAACTTTTATGCTTTTCGTTTGTATTAATTTTCCCCTTCTGTTAAAAATTTCCCAACTGATCTGTAATTATCAATGATTCATTTGATTGAAGATTGACTTTGACTTTGCGAAATTTGCAGTAAATTTTTTGGTTGAGGTTTTTTTAAACCAAATACTGAAAAAAACTGTATTTACCTAAAATAGATGAACACAACAGTTGCTTAAACTAAAATTGTTTATTTTGTTAGGATTCCATATTTACGTTAAAACCAGATATAGTTGAACGGCATTTTTTAGAAAATAAAAAACTCTACAACTGTCAAATTTTTGGAAGAAATTATTAATAGAAAAGCATATTAAAGATATGCGAAATGGGACTATTTTCTTAAATTGTAGCAATGTAGGTACAATGCCAAAAGAAAAACAAGCAATTTATTGATTGATGATGAAAGAGCTTTGCAAATTTTTGGTTACTCGTTAACCCCCTATTATATACATATTTTTTTAATTGTAGAACGGGTAAGCTGCACTATCCAACAAACGTATGTGGTCCCCTGTTTGAAGAAGAACTGGAATTTTGGGGTTTAGACTCAAATCAAGTTGAACCCTGTTGTTGGAGTACGTACAGTGTGCACCGAGACACTCAGGTGAGTACAGTAATAAACTTGCAGTTGAATCAACTGTATCGTTCAGAATAAAACTCGGCTAACGGGGTAAGCCATATTTGCATATAATTTAGGTCCGGTTTTATAAGTTTAAATCCCATAGCTACATAGTATAAGTAGGGGATTACCAAGAACGGTGCATTAAATTTGCCATCGAAGGGTGATTTATATTGAAAATCCCTGCAAATTAATTCCGAATTCTCCAAACCGTTTGCTCGCTGCTGACAAACGACCTTATATTACGTAAAATGTTCCTTTGTTGAAAATCGTTAATGAACGTTTGGAACAAAGTTTAAGGAATTAATTGTCATGACAGTTTTTAAGATTTTAATTTGCTTATCTTTTGAGACTTCCTGGTGTGTCCTATGGGTCTGCTTTCCTTTTCTGCCTAAGATAAAAATTTTAAATTTATTTATTTGGGCCCCTAAAATTAGTTTTGCTACTACATACTGTCCAATTTTGCATGGATTATGCATTATTATTCCTGTTGTTTTGTAAAATATAGCTAAGAAGTAATGGCAGTAGAGAAAGTATAGTATGCAACACGTTGACAAACTTCTTTAATCACTCGTTAATTAAGCACTCGCTGCGCTAGTGCCAAATCAGATCTGCGACTGAAGTGGCGTTTATCGAACTTGTCGCATTATATACTATAGATTCGTTGCTTTTTAAAGCATTTTTCAAATTAAGTATATCTTTTATATAAACAGTCAATGTTTTGTCGTTCTTGTACACACAAGTTCCAAACGGGGATTAATTACAGGATAACACGGATTTGTTGCCACGATCCAACCGACGCTTAGGAATTGCTGTAATTGATGTAGATCCAATCGGAAATTGTAAAATGACGATTTCTCCGTAACTAGTTTATATCAAGCAAATTTGTTCTTCGCTAACAACTATTGTAATTATAAATTTCCCCTATTGCAGAGAATATTGTGTAATACTGGCGATCATAAATGATTAATAATTTCCGGCATAATTTCAATTAGGTATGATATTGCTCGTAAAGGTTAGTGTTAAGGTTCTATGTTTATATGATGTTTAGTGGGACAGCCCTTAATATTTTAATTTAGCAGAAGAACACAATATAAGTATGTCTGCTTAAACATTGCAGCAAAAGGAATAAGTCTGCTTTCTTTAAATTTTCATAGTCCGACTTTTTAGAGATTTTTTTGCGCTGGTACTGAGGTATATTTTTTTAGCAAATTAGGTTAATATGTAATCATTATTTCGTAAATGTTGTTTCCGTGTCTATTTCAGAACCTTAACTTTTAATTATTTTTTTTAAAGTTTATCAAAAGTTTATCAAAAACTGCTGTTTGTAATTGGTAAGGCTCTTTAGACATTTATGAACAAGATTTCTAATATTACTTGCTGATCCGAACCAGCTGGGTCCTGTCCTTTGTGCTAGCTGAAATAAAAATTTTTCTTAAATATATGTCCATATCTCCACAAATTCTCAATGAATTTTAATAAACTTGCAGGATTCCTTTTTTTCACCTTCGCATCAGGTGGATTTTTCTGACATAATCGCAAAAAAATAATTTTTGGAAGTAAAAATAAATGCAACGATGTTAACTTTTATTCATAATTTAGATATTAATAGATATCAGAGCGTGCTATATAATTACTTTGTTTCTGAAAGTGTCCCAATCAAATATGGTGTGCCTCAAGGGTCAATCTTGGGACCAATACTGTTTGTGATCTACGTTAATGACTTTTGCAATTTTATAATACCAACCAACAGCGTAATAATTTACCGACTATCGCTGAGGATATTTCGGACGTTACCCAAGGTTTGCTGCCAATAATCTCAAGCTTAATTTAGCGAAAACTGAAAGTATCTTTATTTCTAGTCACTCTAAGTTTACAACTGGCAAGAAATGTAGGTTGTTGGGTATTACGATTGCCTCGCTCAAATAGTCGCAACATGTGGATAGTGTGAGGTCGAAGTTGTCTAGTTCTTTATTTGTCATGTGTATCATGTGATACTTGAACTTGATATCTCGTACGGGCGTTGCAGCGATGCCTTTTTTATCTTTCGCCTTCAAAAAAGGGCCATTAGGTTGATGACCAGAGGAGACCACAAGGAAGTGTATACTTCAACCAGAAATATAGTGCTTTTACAAACGACCTTGTGATTAATTTTGCCTACTGTTTATTACTCCCTAACCTCAGCATAGATTGCCCTGCCGAGCAGACCCTTACCCGCAACCATCCCAGGATCGTCCTAGGAATTCATCTACCTACACTAACAAGCGGGATGTAAGTATGCTTTCAATCTTTTTCTCCGAGCAATTCTTGAAACATGTACATAAAAAATTAGTACAAAGTAACAATGTATTACTTCATATTTCATAAATTTCTACATAGTATCATTACTTATATAGAAAATACAAAATATAATAATAATAATAAAGTATCAGTCACTTCAAAAATCGTCCCTATAGCTACTGTCGTCACCTAGTTCAATGATCAACTCCACCACTAATCGTTCTCGATAAATATTTTCTTCTTTTATTACTCGTTTTTCGGCTAGGCCAGCTATGTACTGATATTTTAGCTACAATAACTAATATTTAAGTCAGTCAGTAGTTTTTTATGCAGTTCTTCTAGGGTTCAAACACTATTGACTTTATAAGCGTCGTAGATTATACGCCCAATTAGATCTGCGTGTTGCTCTTTAAAAACAGCATTTTCTCTCCCTTTCCTCTTGACTATCCCGTTTGCAACAATTTTTCTTACAGTTGAATTCGGAACTTTGATCATGTCACTTGTTTTTATTGTTGCTTCTACTTCCCCTTCTGAATTTCTTATAAAACTGTAAACATTCAAAACAATTTTTGTTGGCATCCGAAGACAAGGCGATCCGTGCTTTTATTTGGTGAGGTAGTTCGTCTTCTAAATTGTCATTAGGTTTGACTACCATCTCCACTTGGTCTTCAAATTCTGCGTTGTTTTCCATGCCTTCTTCTAACAGGGAAACATCTGCTTCATTCCACGGTCTCCACATTTTTAAGTGTTTAAAAGCAGGAACTTTACAAAAATGTTTAATTGTAAAATTGTAGTAAATATTTTTCTGTATTCTTACGACGGACTTTTATCTACCGGGAATATGATCTATAGTCTTAAAAAAGGCGGTTGTTGTTTACAAATCGAAGAACTATGTCGAAGACGAAGAAGTGAAAACAGCCTCGCAGGGTCAAAGCTCGAGAATCAGGTACATAAATACCTATTTACTGGAACGATCACAGTCAAATACCTCCGAAAATATTGCAATTTAGATTAAACTCTTAAGAACGATACATATCACCTGATGTTAAAATAGACGCTTCTGCTTATTCAAAAATACCCCGCAGCATCAATGCTTAATCAAATTTAAAACGGTCCATTTACGTTTCAAATAAAAATTTCTACAAATATTCGTTACGGCCCATCTCAGGCAAGATCTACTTAATGCAGAATAAACATTTGTTGGGATGGATTTTACCGCGAAATTATGCGGTTAAGGTACTGTAAAATACTTAAAATGTCAAAGCAATAAATGCGCTATATTTTTGGTTGTATTATATGTAAGTATTGGATTCAGGTATTGTTAGTATAGTTCTGGATTTGTGATTATACAATATTCTGTATTCTGTAATTTTGTTAAATGTTAATATTTTAAAAACAAATCAGCCTAATTTTTGTTATATACGGATATGACCTACTACAAACCATGTATGTGTAAAGTAGTCAATAAATATTATTATTATTAATATTGTCATTATTATTTTAACTAATCACAAAAATATTGGTATGTGACTTTTACTAGGTTGTTGGGATCATGTTTGATCATCTGAAAAAAGCATATTTTTTATGCTATTAATTCAGAAAACTCCACCTGTTGGCAAGGTAAGCTGTGACAATCGCGTCACTCATAGGCCGATCTATAGCCTAGGAAAAGCTCCTTTTAAAGACGTTTATTTATTAAAAAACATTTTTGGAGATATGGACATTTAAGAAAATGTTCGAACACTCTCTTGTCCCCATTTTCCTTGCAGTGATAGGGCAAACAGCAAAAAGATTTGATTTTTTTTTCAGCTTTAAGATAGTACTCACAGTAGCTATGGTTAATGTTAAAAATTTTTGTAGAAACGCAGTTTTAAAATTGAAGATAAGAATTATGCTCTTGGTGGACATATGAAAAACTTTTGTTTAATACTTTTTTTTACAAATTTCTAGGACCGACCGTTTCCCTAATAGCGTACTTGGTTGTCCTGATTGGCACATAATGTATATTCTAAATTACAAATTTCCAAAAAAGTTGTTTGTGCAGACAAGCCAAAAGGATTGAATTGTTAGAAACGAGAAGTGTTGCAGTTAATCGAAAAATAAAAAAAACGAATTAACCTATTGTCAAAACTCTGTCAAATCGGACTAATCAAATAAGAGTTTTGCAAATTAAACTTCAGTTTCGATTTCGGCAAACTGCGTATCTGGCGTATCTGAGTTAGTCAATTAGTCATTAGTTACTGGTAATGTAATAAAGTGCATTAGGCGGAAATTGCAGCCAGCTTTCGCGAAACGCGGATGGAAATTTTAATTGTAGCTCGGTTAAGTGGTAAACAATCGGAAATGGTTTAATTTATTCTTGCGCTGGGCAATACTATTGACGGCCGACGCCATTAGCGGTATAAAATTTTGTAAAATCGCATGTTTTTTAGGAAAGAAGTTTACTAAAGCGCATGCATACGAGCGGCGCTGTCTGTGTGTAATTTAAATTGAGTAAAGCCCGTTTGTTGTGCATCGGAGGGTTTTAGACGTTATTTGCTTTGTCTGCGTAACAATGTTTTCGAAGCAAACCGTTCGTTGAAACAAATACGTGAAAACACACGAGTCAGTCTTTGTGCACCTAGTCAAGTGCTCCTCAGAAGTGAATAGAAGGAAGGAATCTATCCGCGTCTAAAATTATGAATAATTAAGCTTACGCAGCCACCAGAACAAAGGCCATTTGAATGTGGGAATGCTATTTTAGTTGTATTTATATAAAACAAAAAATGAAGTCAAATTAAATAAGCAAAATATGTTTTTCTACTTCCTACTCTAAAATACCCATTTGTGAACAGATCAAGCGGTGGCAAAGTTACACATTAAGATGTCAGCATCGTTGTTCGCGAGCCATTGCGTGGAAAAAGTATTTGTAAACAGTCACTAGTTCCTTAAACGATCACTCCGTGCCAAATCAAACTCGTGATTAAGATGTCGTTTATCAAACTTGTTGCACAATATACTACTGCTGTGGTTAAAGAGTCGCTAATACATTCGGGAAATATTTTTGAAAATACTAGTAACATGTTTTATATGGTCTTCAATTTCATCGCCCATTTCAAAAATCAAAAAAGCATAACTCTCGGGAATCACAATCACAAATAAATATACATTTTTTAATAGTATAATAATGTAATTTAAAATAAAAGCATCTAGAAAAAATCCATGAACCTGTTATTTTTTATAAAAAAAATTATTTACTTTTTTTGCTTGTTTTAATGTTTTTTTATATAATATTAATCCACACTGTTTTCAATGCTTTCATTTTAAGATGTTTTGTTAATAGCCGAAATTACTTTTTTAGAAATGTTGGTACATGGAAAGTTTTTCTCATCAATTGTACAATACTTCATTGTATCAGTAGCCGTTACATTTGTAAGTTTAGAATGGTAAGAATGTATGAATAATATATATAATTTTTAAATGTTGGATGGAACACCTCCTTGCGTCTCTTCTGTTTTGTCGCACAACATTGTTAACATGTTATTTCCTATTTTCAAGTAACGTCGAAAGTAATTTTTCAAATAGGCCACTGTAATCCATAGGCTATTGTAATACTATTACAACAAAAATCTATTTCCAAGAGGTAAATAATTTTTTTTTTAATCGTGTCAATTTAAAAACCATCTTTAACTTTAACACCTATTTCAGATATCGTTTCAATTTTCGCCTTATCATATTTTCTAAAATTTAAGCGAATAAAATTTGCAATGTTTATTTTTCGGGAATGTTGGAAACTCTCGCGCTGTTTTTTCTACGCATTACGCCATTAATCCTGCTCAATCTCTGGTTTCGGCCGAAAACGTTTCTCCGCCCCAGCGATAATTTATCAGTTATGCCTTGCTTTCGTTTTTACATTCACATAAAAAATTGTTTGTATTCAGGGCCGGCGGGGTATTTTTAATATTATCATCTAACTCAACTTCAGGCTACATTGGCGATATTAGACAAGCTGGATATAGACGCGGAACGGCCCAACGATGAAGAAGTGGCAAGAATGTTCGGGTACGAAGAGGCGTACCACGCCGGAACCCTTACGAGGTGGCAGAAACTTAAACCCAAAATATGGGCACTATTCGACGAACCGTATTCGTCATCATCGGCCAAGGTACCACCGCTCAATGTGCAGCATCGAAATGTGAATATTAATTTTTACTAATACATTTCTCCCCTTTTTATTACTAATAACGTATGCTTCAAGTTAGGATAGATTTTTTTTCAAAGAAACTTCTACAGGCTACTGTAACATTTTTACAAAACTTTTTGCTTGCTTGCAAGTTCGACTCAACAAAACCCGACGCAGGATGAATCCAGAAGTTTTATAAAAAGTAGATAGAAATTTCAATTTTAAAAATTGCTCCACACTTGGTCCAAATATTGGGAGCTATTTTTCATTGTAGTAGTTGAGTGTACACGCCGTAATTTTTAGAGAAAATGAGTGATAATTTGTGGAAGTAGAGTCATAATCGGTTGAATTATATTGAAAATATTAGGTAATTCAGATTTTTTTTTTGGATAATTATGAGAAATTTTGTAATTTTTGCGGGAATAAGTTGTTCATTCTAAAGATAGATTCTGTGGAAAAATATGATGTACTCTAAGATTAAGAATAATGATATATCACTTTTAGTGATTATTTTCAACGAACCTTTAATTCGATTGAGGGTGGGTCGTTTTGGGTAAAACTTATTAAATATAAACAAAAAACTTTGAAACTTCTGAAAGTTGAAGGAGAATAAGAAATTAAAAATATATTACCTACTTTATGACTTAAGTATTTAAAAATAAACTTTTTTCTTTAAACAATTTGGTTTAGTAGCTTTCATTTTGGCTGTTGAATTTAATTAAAACTTAAATATATATTTTCAAGATCACATTTCATTATTATGTTAATAATTGCTCGTTCTATAGCTGAATCGCTCCAGAATTTATTATTTTTAAAAAAAATTTGAAAAGTATTATATATAATGAATGCTGGGGGTTTTGTTTTGATTGCACGTATTTTTATTGTGTTCTACTTTCGATAGTATTTTTCCTCTTGGTGATGTAGTTTTACTGTTTTCAAATTTCAGATTAATAAACACAATACTTAAAAAGTTTTATTTATTTAAATAATTAAGGTGTAATTTTTTATAGAAGTGTGTGTACCCAAATCCACTACTGAAATCTTCGTCGATGCTGCCTTAATTGTTTATTTTCTTTTGTTAGTTCGTTTTTAATCATCTTGACCGCTTTTGGTGTCCTAGAAATTCTAGATGAAGGTAATAGATACATAGGCCGAGCTAAGACGAAATATTGCTTTGTTTCCTAATGAAACATACGTTATTGTAGTAAATGTATTAACGTTTTTCCTATGGGACAATGACTGTTATACGAAAACTATAACAACTATCTAAAATGAAATTAATAAATATGTAATAAATAAAAAATAATTAAAACACCTTAAATTTTTTGTTCATTCTTTATATATAAGTAATAGTTATTGTCCCAGGACTAAATATTGCATGACCTGCATATACCGTAATGTAAAGGTCCCGAACAATACAAATAAAATCAAAGCGATTCGCAACCGAGCGTGAATACGTAGCCGTAATAGTAAGAGATCAATTCTATCAAAAGCTTTTAAGCAAATTATGGAAAATAAATATTTAGTTAAATCGCCAAATAATTCCGCATGGCAAGCGATTTCACAAAGATAATTTTTCGTTGGGATAATCTCGTTCGTGGATTTTAATTAAAATGGGAAAACTAAAAAAACACCTCCGCATTGGTATTGGTATTAAGGGGGGCCCCCCGCGGGCGTCCAAGCACTTAGGCCACCAGATGGGCCCGTTGTGCCCCCAGACCGCGCTAGAGGGCGTCCAGAATGCCGCCCCTCCTAAAGAAGGTCAGCAACTCCTTTAGTCCAATACCTGCACTCCGGGTCATCTCCAATGCCTAGCAAACAAAGATGCCTCCTAAACTTGCAATTTGCTTTGTAGGCCGCTGTTAGTGCTCTACACTCCCTTCTGGTCAGTCCAAGCAGCTCCTTGGTCCGAGGGAAGGCGGACCCACCCATCATAAGCCTCGCCTGCCTCATTCCCGGAGCAACACCTCCCCATTTAAATATTCAATTAGAATTCGAAATTATTATGAATGTATTATTATAGACGTGAAAGAAACGTTCTAATAAATGCTCAGTTTCCATGGTGTTGAATATTAAAAAAAACGGCTTTTTACGAATACAATTGTGTGGTTGTGAGGTGTACGCTACTGACTTTTTTTGCAATTTTTGTTATTTACTTTCAATAAGCCACTAACACCCAACTTTTTTTACTCTTGCATTGTTTTCGCATCTTGCGTCGTTTTCATGCGAAAAAAAAAATGAAGTCTAAGGAAAATGAGCACCACCAGCTTCGATGCAGTCCTGTACCCTAAGATGTCAAGTCTTTGTTTTTTTTTTTAGTATTGAATACCCGGTATCTTTGGCGCTAAGCATGCTGGGTTTATAAAAATAGCTAACAACCAACAACTGAGAACTTATTTTGTTCACCGCAATGGGCTATTGCGCCAGCGATCTAGTAATAGATTTTTGAAAATAGATTTATTTTAATAGTTAATAGTTTAATAGTTAAGTAACAAGTGTAAATATCGAAGTCATATATTATTGTCAATTCTCATGCCATTAAGATAACAAATTAATTGGAAAAGTGTCCGTGTCTTCAACAATAATTTAATTGTGAATTGATGTGTGTGGAATCAAAATCTAACGTAAACATTCATCCCTTATTTTGAAAACCGAGCTACCAAATTGTAAATCGTTTTAAGAGCGGACTTCATTCCAAATTCCAAGTGACGTCGAGTTACACTTTTAAAAAGTTGTTTTCGAAAATCTTAAAATTTTAATGTCTTCTCCCAGAACTCAATTTCTAAACTGCCATTGAGCGTAAATTATGCACAAAGTTGCGAAAAGTATCCGGTGGTATTCAACGGGCCAGAACAATGCTTGCTTAAAATAAAATGTTAATCTATGGTCTTTGCTCCGAAGTCGAAAGTAAACGCTCGAATACTATCGCGATTTCAAACATAACGCTGGTGCGTAATTTCAAAAGAATTAATTATGTCGCTGCGAATTCTGCCGCTACGATTTCGAGTTATTCAATTGCAAAACGAAAAGGCGAATTATATTTTATTGTCAATTCTTAAACATTGCGCTTTTAACTAATCTTCTTTTAAAGAACAAAATTATTTCCAGATAATAAAAAGACAACACTACTTCTATCGGAAAGTCAGATAAAATAAATAAATAGCTATGCATAGGAAATAAACATTTTTTTATGTATGCGAAATTTAAGCAGCAAACAGAACGTGGGTTAGTAGCTTTTTTTGTGGGTATTGGGAGTGGATGCCAAGAAAAGCTATGACTTATTTTATTTCTAGGAAACAATATACTTCTTTGTTAGGTATCTGATGTGAGCGCGCTGAAACGTATTAAAAAATATAAACCTTAGATGTTACAGCGAGATTTAGAAATATTGATTTATTTTAGGTATTTAGTTTAGATATTTATATATCATTCAAGAGAGCTATAACGTAGTCATGTAATTTGGATTCTTTTGAAATTTTATTGATAAAGAACCGACAATAAAAATATTGTCTATTTTGTAATTCGAAATGCCTTCCAGACTCACTTCAGCTCTGGTATAAACATAAATTTTCTAGTAATTTTCATCATTTGCCAGTGGCAATTGATAAAAGTTGTTCACTTAATTTCTCAAACAAGACTAAAGTAAGATATTACCGAGAAGCTACCAAAATAAAAAAGTATGATTCTAAGACTTTTGAGCCTTTTATGCACTGCCTAGTTTACCGTCAACTAGTGCATACGTCGAATCCGTTATGGCCTCAGTAACTTATAATGCTCGATCAATGAGATGTCACTTACAACCCACTTTCTTTTTTTCTTACGGTTAGGTATCTAAACTTCAGCCGCAGAGGATTTGAGACCGCCCGACTTATTCATTTGATCGATCACTTAGAAGCAGAGTCATTTCACTTAATTAGCTCTCAGACGACTGTGAATGATTGGTCATCTCTGGGATTTATTTAAATAACAACCTCACCGTCCTGCAGTGTACAGGGTGGCCGGTTTAAAAGGGGCCTGTACCTTATCTCGAAATCTATGAGTGTTATAAAAAAACGTTTTAATACAAAAGTTGTTTCCAGTAAAATGATCATTATTTTTTGGTAGGTATTATTTCGATTATCATTCACTTACATTTTTTTTAAATTGTAAAATATGTAATATTTTATTACATTTTTAAATCCCCTTTACAAGACGAATGCATAGCTTTGCAAAGGTTTTTGTAACGTTAAATATTAACTTTCAAAACATTTTTAACAGATTTTAGAAAATAATGCTTTTTCTCAGACGCTATACAAAATTGAAATATTTTTATCAAACACGCTGTGTTCCGACGTATCGCAAAATGTTACTTCCCTAAAATTTTTAAAATCAAACACCCTATATATTTTTGCATTCTTGGATGGCCCTTTAAAAGAATCCAACGATATATGTGAATATTGATGTGCGATGCATCGTTAATTTTTTTTGACAATTTCTTTCAATTCCGAGGCAATATTAACGGAATTAATTCAATTTATGCAATCTTTCAAAAACCTCTCCAATATAAGCGTAATCCTTATTAACAGTGCAGTAGAGAATGATATATAAATATTTATATACATCGTTGGATTCTTCTTTTAAAGCGGTATTTAAAAATTTATTGGAATATAGGGTGTTTCATTTTAAAAAAGTGTAACTTTATTTGACTGTTTATATTTATATACATCGTTGGATTCTTCTTTTAAAGCGGTATTTAAAAATTTATTGGAATATAGGGTGTTTCATTTTAAAAAAGTGTAACTTTATTTGACTGTCCTGTATATTGGATCTGGTGACAATTGAATAATACAAAAAAAGGTTTAACTGAAAACAACTTTTGTATTCAAACTTTCTTTAGAAAACTTTTCAAGATAAGGTATAGGCCCCTCTTAAAAGGGGTACCATGTACATAAAAAGTTATCCCATTAATAAATAGTTTTTTTTCTCTATATGTGGGGTGTTTCGTATTTTAGTTTTAAGCAATTAAAATGTTTCATAATATAAATAAACCAATAAGCTAATTTCTAAAGTCTCAACGAATAATAGAGAGCTAGCTACAAACTATTTATAATAAAAAGCAAAATATGGACTTATGAAGAGTTTAGAAAAAATGTAAATAAGAATCTATTTAAGTAATAACTAAATTACGTTCTCAACCAGTCTACACATGTCTGAACCCGACTTATTGGACAATAAGTATGATGATTAAAATGATTATTAATTCAATATCAAGATATGGGGCGTTGCATAAAACTTAACACTGCTTATACATAAAAGGTTGCAGTCAATTCTTATGTGGACTACACTATACTTGAGCCCTGAAGAAAGTTCAACTAACCTTAATTATCGATCCTTCTTACCCGCTATTCTAATTTAGCAATTTCCTTAGAATCTATTCCACTAAAATAAAAAAATCATTCAAGGTATGATTCAATAGAGATAAAATTTAATTTTCAAATGATTTAGTTACGGCTTTTCGGAAACCAATATTAGAACCCGCATGTCAACCTTATCGACATTCCCTGAGCCGTTTGAACGAATCCGCTAAGACATAATTTAATTTTGGTTTCAGATAGTCGCCGGAGCATCCGTGTTTTTTATTTGTGTGTCGGTGTTCTCGTTCTGTTTGAAAACCCACCCTGACATGAGGGTGAAGTGCGAAAATCATAAAGAAGCGGACTGCACGGAACCCCATCCGTATTTTCTTACGGTCGACCATTTTTGCAATGCCTGGTTTACCTTTGAATTGTCCGTCAGACTTATCGTAAGTATACCTGTTATTAATTATTTAATAATAATAATTTATTATAGAACAAACGTCAATATGATTGGGCCTCATTGAATGTAAATGTGGGAATATTAATACTACATGTCAATGATTATACAGGATAATCCTTTCAGTCTTTCGAAATGTCGAGCTATGATTTGAACATGACTTAGGAACAAGAGAAGCACTCTTTGTCCTGAACGTTATTGCACAGTGCACGGATATGAATCAAGACACGAACAACTGATAAGAATTCTTAAAGAAACGAAATTAGGCAACAGAGATACAAATCATCACATATTTTTATTTCAATCAGAGAGCGATGGTGAAAGAGGAAGGAAGTAGCACAGAAGAAACAGAAATCTGAAGAGGTATGAGATAGGGGTGCGTGCTATCTCCGATGCTGTTTAACCTTTTCTCAGAGGAAATAATGAAACGAGCATTAGAAGATGAGACGAAGTTTATTGTAATTAAGGGAGTCCTGTTGGATCACAAATTCAAACTATTTACAGATACTGCTAAATAAAGCAAATATATGGAGCGAGGAGTTTGGATTGTCCTTAAATGTAAAGAAGACAAAATTCATGATAACATCCAAAACATCACAAAACAACCACCAAATTCTTATAAACAATCAATATATTGAAAAAATTGACAGTTATAAATACTTAGGCACAAATGTAAATAGTATAATGACTGTTCTGTAGGACTGGTGAGAACAACATTTATGAAAATGAGAAGACTGTTTTTGTTGAAGCGAACTCAGCTGGGATTTAAAAATGAGGATGGGGCGGAGGCATGGACTCTGAAGAAATGGGAAATGAGAAAACTAATGGAATTCGACATGTGGATATACTATTACAATTGATACTATACATACGCATAGCCTTGATGATTGCCAAACTTCGCAAGAAGAAGGAAATTTTGTGCTTTTCCTCATATGACGACGGATCCCAGATCTAGTTTTGAAAGTATTAGGGAACAATGTTGATAGAGCAATGGTTATTTACATCCATTACTTTTTTCATCTGTCTAAGTCAGAAAGGTTTCGATAACATTATTGTTTTGTAAGTTTTGCAAGTATCATAGTCACTACTTAGCGAGCCTGGCGTGTTTTACTGCCTTCTAGTCAATATCTCAATTAATATATTTAATGCCACGGCTGTCATTTCTCTCTAACCAAGATTCGGATTGAGTAATCCAAACAATAACTTAAGGTTGGTTCTGATCCTCAAAGGTATAAAGTTTATCTGACATTGCGTAGCTACTCATAGCTCATCTGAACCCAAAACTGTTGTAGTAATTGAAGAAAGAAATATTCCCTGTTTTTATTGGAAACCACAAGAGTTTACATGCTAACTAGGTAACTACAACTAGCAGTTTGGAGATACAGAGCGTTCAAAGTTTAAATTTTGTTCTGAAATTTCTCATTAATTAAGAAACAGTGCTTCTAGAGGGCCCGTATTATTTAAATAAATCAAATCATATTTCTTAATCCGTAAATGGTTGAAATATAATGAAAATCTGAAGTCTGAATCTTTTGTAGAAAAGGTACTTGTGTTTATGCCGTTTAATTCTGTCGGTTTTTCACTTATTTTCATTTAATAAGTTCAAGGTGTTGATTTTTTTTATGAATACGTATAAAATATATATAAAAAAATAAAATAATTATTTTTTCCAGTGTGGGAGGCGTTATATGATTTGTGATTTGACTCATGCATTGCAGTCCTTTATCAATTACTCTGCATATCTGATGTACATTTTGTGCTGTCAAAAGCCTATGGAATTGTGGCTTTGAATTTAAGGATACGTGTTAGATTTTGATTGTCTTGATCTTCAGGGAATATGTTGCACGTAGATCGATTATTTATTCAACTGGAGATTAACATCGGACCGGGAGGATAATGGAGGAAAATTTGATTTTTCCGAATCAGGTTCCTACGAGAATAACGACTAGAGTAAATTTTGCAGTTCGAGCTGAACTTTTAATCCCACGCCGATTGGAAATCGAGTTTCCACCACACCCCGGAAATATCGCGAGCCATTGTTAGCATCGTACAATGTTTTAGCGAGGCCGAAATGGCCGTGCACCAAAAAGAATCAGGTGTTACCAGTTCCGCTCTGAAATTTTACTGAGAAATGTTTCGGAATAAATAAAATTATAACGTACTGGGAAATCTGGGGTCAGTGATATGAAATTGTTTCAATTTTCTTTAGGATGTTCGATTTGGCACCAATGCATGTTGAGACTTTTTATATCTCTATAGAAAAATATTGTAGGAGAATGTAATAGTACAGAAAAGGTGGCATATTTTTATAAAACACCTTCAAGCAAGAAGGAACATTTATTTAACCAGATTACATTAAATTTAAGTCTGGAAGAGCCAGCTTTTAGACTGTCGGTTCCAAAGAAATCCCTACATAGTTATAGAGCTTTAGCTCTTAGCAGACTTCACAGTTTGGATAGTGAATCCTTTGTGCTGCTGGTTGCTTTGGATTTCGTTACGCCCAGCAGATAAAAAGTATTCTCAAAAAGACGTTTAATTGGCATATCCTCTGCTGTTCTTGGGGTTGCTTCCTTCCACTTCCATTAACCTTAGATATCTCGTAAGTCCGCAGAAGATCTAACATTATTCTAAAGTCCTTACCTTCATAGCTTAGCAGCTCTGCCGAAAATTTAGCCCAAATGTTTCTGAGGGCTTTATTGACCCCTCTTAGCGTGTCTCTACATCATTGCCGGGATTTTCTTTCCATCCATTTTTTGAATGCTGATTTTGAAATGTGTTTAGCCGCATCACAAAACGGTTCTGATCCCATTATGTACCTTGACCGGCCTTTGCATGTTTATCTATTTATTTTATTTATTTAATCAGAGTGTATGAATCGTAGGGTCACTAGGGTAGAGTAAAAAATTATACTCGAGGAATACCACAAAAATCAATTCATTAAGTGGCTAATCTTCATCAGAAAATATAAGCTTTACATATTCACGTTCTACGTTCTGGAATTCATTCCGTGAAATCTACTGATGCTCAAGCTCTCTACAAGTGATTCATTCACAATAAATAAAATGCAAACCGAACCAAAATATTTTCAAAAAATAATAGAAGCTTAAATGCACATAAGACTAGTTCAGTTGCAGTGTCACTCACGTCGCTAATTTGTTTGGCTGCAAGGTACAAGTAGGAACTGTACAGACGTTGTTGTTTCATGAGGAAGGAGGTTTTTGGTGGAAGTTAAGGTTGAATATCATTTGTTCCAATAATTTCTTCTAATAATAGACGCCTTTTCTCTTCACACTAACTTTCATTGGAAGTAAATAAACAGGATTATTATTATCATCATTATTATGACTATTATCAACCCCTTCATGAATGAAAATCTGCTCGTTTTCTTACTACAGCAACAGAATGCATTTTGCAATGTATTAGTCCACATTTAACAATTTTAACAAATAATAAGACTAACAAACATAAAATAAGCGTCTTGCTTATGTCAAAATATTCAAAATTTTTAAACGCATTTGTTTAGCCGTTTTGATGTTGAATTGACTACGAATAGTTTGTGTTGAATATTTATTATTTTATACAATATTTTATTGTTTTATTATTGCGTTTTTATAATCATTATAGAAAAAACTTGCAGTAATAAAGTTACTGTGAGTAAGTTAATTAACCGATCTTCTAAAATTTAGAATGAAATGGTATCTGTATTGTTTACGAATTTTGCCTTGGGTTAGATCAACCGTGAGTAATGACAAACGAAAATGAAATTACGTCGTCAGAATGTATCAAATTTCGTCCCTTAAAGGGACGGAGAATAAAAATTTCCTAAATATTAAAATTGTTTATTTAGGCGAAATTTTTCTGGGATATTAATGTCGCTAACGTTGAAAAGAAGAACGAAAAGTGAAATGAGACAAGGTAATTTATTAAATTTTATTGGCAACAATAGTTCAGGCGTTATGGACGCTGCAAGGTTTTCTATTTAACAAAGGCCTTATAATGTTTGGCTAATGCTTTTAGGTTAGCAATTCACATAGATATGCTTCATTATCGCAGCTTTAGTAATTAAAAAAGCAAATTAATTCTTTTGTCCGTGACTCGGATGGATGTTTTTAACAGACTCTCTAATTATGGTGTTTATTCTAGTGGGTTAATTAAAAGTACACACATTTCTTCAATTTAACTCATTTTCGAGTCGATGGATACTGATGAGATGATTTTTTTCCATTTTCCATTAAGGAGGAAAAATACGATATCTATATTTTTCTCCTACCCGACACAAACATGGAGTATGATTTCCATTAAAAGTGGAAACAATTTTAGCCCGTAATAAGCTTTTTATATAATCGATGGCGAAAAATGATTGGGTTTTGGTTTTCTCTCACAATATGATATTATTCCTGTCTTCCTATTTCAGGTTTCGCCAAACATAATCGAGTTTATCAAATCTCCAGTAAACATAATCGATTTTGCTGCCACCCTGAGCTTTTACATCGACATGATCCTCATATTTGAGAAGAAATCCCAGCTGCTCGACTTTTTCAGCATCATAAGAATTTTGCGGCTGTTTAAACTTACAAGGTAAGTCGACAATAACTGCTTAAATGTTTTGAAAATGTTTTCATAGTTAAGTTTAGTTTTCAAAATGTTCAATCGAGAATTAGAACGGGCATTTTTAAATTGCAATTCCTCCGGAGGCGGGTCAACAGACTCAATTAAAGTCGAGCAAAATAAAGAATCTAAAGAGAAATTCTCCCATGTCACGTGGTCATCGCTCTCTATTTAATTGCGTCCTTCTGCTGGCGTTAAGCTCTAGTTTATCTTAATGGATCAATTTTCCGGCTCCACCGCGAGTTCAATGAATTATTACAGAGGGCATTGGAAGAGAGAAAACCGCATACGATTTGCGATTTTTGTTGGCAAGTCCGTGCTTGAAACTGGTTTGGGTAGTTTATAATTTTTGATGATTTTTTTAACAAACATTTTTTTAATTGAAAATATGCTTTTTTATAAATATAGTGGTGACGACACGACACTTTATTAAGATAGAACATAAAAAAAATACAGTGTTTATAAATTAAGACAGTAAGTTATGAACATTTCAAGTTCAAAAATGTTATCTTCAAAAATAATAAGATTGTATTTTTCAATTTTTATTGCGATGCTCAAGCGTCTCGTGTTGCACTTTTAATACCCGAAGAAGCGGGCTTTGGAAAATGCTTTTGCAAAGTATGTTTCGACCCTTCATTTTAAAAATGGTATCAGGAATGTGGATTTGTTTAAAGTAACCTAAAATGGAGTGAACTTTTTTTTATCATATTACCAAAATAAATTTTCAATTTCAATAGTTTTTTATATGTCGCTTATGATTTCTGGATTATTTTTTACGTTTTTAAATACGGTTTTGATTCAAAACGGGCGTGTTGTTGAATATACAACAGGTTTGAACATTTTATCAGTGCCATTTTGTAGGCAAATCCATACACTATATGATATACACTTTAATCTGACAAAAATTGGAAGTCACTGGTATATTTTATATTTTCTTTCTGCCAAACAGGAGAAAAACCGGCATAATTAATGCGTACATTGGGGGAAAAGTAATATCCAGATAACTACAACCCAAGCAAGCTAAGACTTGTTATTTTGAGTCTATTTTAAGCAATTTTAGTAATCGTTTTTTTTTTTGTTCTTAAATAGTAATTTATCTAATAATTAATAATGGATAATCACATCAATCACATTATAATCTTGGACGTTTACGAGATGTTACACAAAAGCTTAAAAATATTTGGAAACAATTCAAATCTACGAACTTCTAATATAAAATAATTTCTTAAAAACAAAAATGTTTTGTACTCTTTACACAAAATGATAATTTTTAATAAGGGTAGCTAATATACGGCATAATTTTCTTAACTGTCTTAGTTATCACTTTTTCGTACCTAGTTACAGTTGACCGAACAACGCGTTGCCCTTTTTTAAATAAAACCTTATGAAAAAGTACACTTCCGGGCGTATATCGGCACTTTTATTCACCAGCCTTTTTCTTTACGCAGGTAGTTTTTTTATTATTTAATGCAAAAAATCGATGATGATTTGTAACGCTTGTTGGCAATACCTGTAGTTTTTAGGAGAAAAATAAAACCTCCAAATGATTGCATTTTCAGGTGTAAGATAAAAGTTTGTAATTTTGAAATGATCTTTTCTCTTTTATGATTTAAATGGTAAAACTGGCTTTTCCATGTGAGGAATAAATTTTTCTCGATTTTTGCAGGCATTCGCCCGGTTTGAAAATCCTGATTCATACTTTCAAAGCGTCGGCCAAGGAGCTTGCCCTTTTGGTCTTTTTTCTCGTGTTGGGAATTGTCGTCTTTGCGAGTCTCGTTTATTACGCTGAGAAATTGCAGGTAAGTTTGCAAGACCCGAACTTCGCAACGCCGCGGGGCGCGAAGTGTTGAAATGGGTAATTCGGTTTCCCAGTTTCCTCATTTTGCAGATGTCTCAACAAATATATATATATATATATATATATATATATATATATATATATATATATATATATATATATATATATATATATATATATATATATATATATATATATATATATATATATATATATATATATATATATATATATATATATATATATATATATATATATGCGTGGCCAGATATAGTAAAATGTTGTTTAAGTGCTATTAATGACATGTTGTCGTCAAACTGGAAGAAAATGGTTTGTGAGTTTGTCGTTCGTCATTTTTTGACGGATTTAATCTCAAAATTTAAACTGTTGATACTCAAGAGCGCACTCTCGACTTTTGAATCGAGCAGAACATCAAAAAATACCTTCTACTGAAAGAGTAATACGCATTCAAAATAATAATTATTACTCTATTGTTACGTTGTTCAAACAACGGATCTGAAAGTTTATTTCGTTCAAAATCAAATCAAATTAAATTAAAGAAGGGAGAGCCAACTCTGAAAAATGCACCTTCCATTGGAAGGACTACTTCATCTTCTGGCCTGTACTAGGGTGGGTAGAGGAAAGCCAACAATGTCAACGCAATAGAAAGAACGATCGACAAAAAGAAAGATAGATGACACGAAGAATGCTATAAAAGGAAATTATTCTTGTTTTTGTCTTTTTCTTTTTTACCCAAGTGTCCCATATTACGTGATATGTTACAACTATTTATATTTTTTGATATTTTTTTTGTAATTTTTTAAATTATTTTGTAATTTATTCCACAATTTCATAGCTATAAGTGTAAAAGATTTTCGATAGGTAGCGGTTCTGTGTCTGTTCACTTCAAAACTTGATTAGCTGTTGTCATACATCATTTAGATACCAATTGAAACGCTTTAAAAAGGTACTTTGTATATAAAATTGTGCATATTACTCTTACGGCCATTATTTAAAATTTTGTGATGATTTAAATGTGGTTTTGAAATGGCATTCTATTGGGTTGTTCGGAAAGTCATTTCGTTTTTTTTGGGGAACATGAAAGACAGTTTTCGTATAATGAATAAATATTTTATTAAATTATATATTGGCCATTCTGGTCCAACATCTTTTGCCATCTTTCTGGCAGTAACATAATTCCCCTCTCATAAAAGTTTTGGTCCTTGCTGGCAAAAAACTGGTTCAGGTGGTTTTTGACATCTTCATTTGAGGTAAAGGTTTTGCCATCCAAAAAATTTTGCAGGGACCGGAACAAATAGTAGTCGGAAGGCGCCAGATCTGGAGAATATGGTGGATGTTGCAGTACGTCTCATTCAAGCTGTAAAAGTTTTTGGCGAGTGACCAAACTTGTGTGAGGTCTCGCATTATCCTGGTGGAACACTACATCCTTCCTGTTGATTAATTCGGGCCTCTTCTCTTTAAGTGAATCATTCAATTGGTCCAGTTGATGACAATAGACTTCTGAATTAATCGTTGTATTGTCCGGCAAAAGCTCAAAAAAAACGATTCCTTTGACATCCCACCAAACGGAGAGCATCACCTTTTTTTTGGTGAATGTTGGCTTTTGACACGCTTTGAGCCGGTTCATCTTTTCTGCTCCATGACCTCTTGCGTTTAACATTGTTGTATACAACCCATTTTTCGTCCCCAGTAATAATCCGCTTCAAAAATGGATCATTTTCTTGACGTTTGAAGAGCGAATCACACACGTCAACGCGACGACAGAAATTTCGCTCCGTAAGGACATGGGGCACCCACACATCGAGCTTCGAGGTTAAGCCCATGCCTTTCAAATGGCCATAAACAGTCGAATTCGACAAATTTAATCTCTCACCGATCTCTCGTGTGGTTATTCGCCGATTTGCATCAACTAATGCCTTTATCGCATCTTTGTCCGCTTCGACCGGCCTTCCAGACCGTGATGCATCTTCGACATCAAAATTGCCGGATCGAAATTTGGCAAACCAGTTCTGGCACTGGCGTACTGTTAACACGCCTTCTCCAGACACATCCGTCAATTTTTTTCTCGCTTGGACTGCATTTTTACCTTTTCTGAAGTAAAAAAGTAAAATATGACGAAAATGCTGCTTATTGCTCTCCATATTTAAAAGAGCACCAACCAAAAACTACTGCGTAGAATTAATAGAACTTTTTCACACACAAGCCTTGCAATATCAGCTCTCAAGACATATAATGGTTATGCGGCTTAAGTGTGAAGTTGGTTTCGAAAAAACGTAATTAAGTCCTCTGACGGGAAAAAACGAAATGACTTTCCGAACAACCTTATATATGAAAGCCTCATACAGCTATTTTGCAGAAAAATAGAGATAAAAGTAAATCATCAAATATAAGAAATTTTTGTTTTGGGGGTAAACAGTTTTTTATTTTATTTATATTTTTTAATCGCAGGTATGCCGTTGTCACTACTATTTATTCCAGTGGATTGTTTATGTTCGGCGCACTACATTTCTCTCTAATGACTGACCATGGAGCAGTGCTTCGGTTTGGCAGCACCTTCTCGCGATGTCAAGATTTAAAATTTTGCAATATTTCATGTCGTAATTAACAATGTTTTTTTAAGTATCGGTCGCTTGCAAATTAAGCCAAAACAATCGCGCTAATTTGGTTAGAGTTCAAAATGTCTGTTCACTACCAACAACAATGATTAATTAATCACACTCCCATTAGGACCAAAGTCGTCATATTCGCTGAAATTCAGAGTAAAATCGTTATATTTACGGATGTCAGAAAATGAAATGGGCGTTCTACACATCGGTTTTATCGCCAAACAATATTAGGACAAGGAGAGTCATTCTACATATAATAAATTTTCTGATATTAAATATCAATGCAGAGGAGAAAATTACCTAAATGGTAATTTGATTATGTAGTCTCCGTTTTGGAAATGTAATTAGTTAAAATTTTAATAATGCTTTATAAACAAGGTATTAAGTATATCAATTGTATTTTTCTAAACCGAATGAAAAACCTGCAATAATTTGGGAATTTTTATTCATGATACAAACATATTTTTACAAAATTGTTTCTATTTTTTACATGATAGCACCAAACCAAGCCACTAGGATACTAGATATATCGACCCTGGGTTATGTTGATAATACAGACATTTTTTAAACGTCGGTGAAACAAAATATTCAGCAGCTACATTTAATATGCGTATGCCAAGTATTTTTATGGCAGAATTTTCTCAAAATATGTTGTGTGAACACGAGCGTGGACTTCTACAAAATATCATAGTCGCCCAAGGCATATCAATTTTTATCCTACTAGGGCCTATATTATCTATAATCTATATGAACAAAAGGCACATGCCTACTTGATTTTTTTTCCTTGTTGGTTGCTTCACTCTTTTAGAAACACAAATAAAATGGCCTACGCGTAAAAAAGAGGAAATATTTCTTTTTATTAAAATATGATACAGAGATGTATAAAAAGTCATCAAGCTTTGAAAGTGAAAAAAGAATGCCGAATTAAACCAAATTTATGTTAAAAACGACAAGGAAATAATTTTCCTTGAGAATCGACATTATTTAGATACTTTTTACAAAACTTCTGGATTCCTCCTGCGTCGGCTTTTGCTGAGTCGAAATTGCTGACGTTTCTCCAATCATCCTGTTGGCTTCTTCAAAGCGTGACTCAAAACTGGCTCGTATTTTACTTTGTACCTGCTTATATATTGTTTGAGGGGGGGCGAAGCTAAATGAGGGCATAAATACCGTCTCGGATGACATCTGAATCTGATCTGAATCGCGGTTAAGATTGTTTATAGATTTTTATAGATTGTCGGATTTTTCGTTGGTAGAAAAATTGAATAAAATCGAATCGAAAAATCCAATAAAATTTTGTCCGGTTTCGTGATTGTGTTATTTGTCTTAGTCGCAAGGCTCTTTCGTATTTTTTGAGCATAGTTGATATTTTTCGTCCGGTCTCTCCAATGCATTCCTTGCTGCATATGCATGGAATGTTGTAAACTCCTGGCATCTCAAACCGAATTTTGTCTTTGACGGACCGCAGATGTTGAGAGATTTTTGGACAAGGTTTGGCGAGGTTTAATTGCTACGTTCTTCATCGAATGTCAGTTTTGAACCCGTCAATAGGCTATCTAAACAATAAAATGTTTTGTTCCTATTAAACTTTACTATTGAGTAAAACCCATAGTTTTACGCCTGATATTTTCGAACGATTTTAAAGTCTTAAATGATGCAGCCCCGATTTTAACTGTCAATTTGTGAAAATTGTATTTTCGGCAAGATATTTCTGATGTTAAGATGTTTTTTTTCGCTTCGCTAAAAGAGATAGCATATAAATATGGATTTAATAAAAGACCTCTTCTATTAATATATACTGTATTAATATTGTTGTTATCGTGGTTTTGAAAATGGGGACTCAGAGTCTTCACAAAGCTTAGATTATGCCGGGTTTTTCCAGACTCCATCTCTGTTATATTATCGGCTTTTACGAGGATAATATAATAATAATGAAGTTTAATTTTTCAAAGAAACTTCCACAGGCTTCTGTAATACTTTTTATAAAACTTCTGCATTATTCCTGCGTCGGTTTCTTCAGACCTTGACTGAAACTGGCTCGTATTTTACTAGGTACCTGCTTTTATATTGGTTGAGGGGGGCGGAGCTAAATGAGGGGCACATACACTTGTCTCGGATGACTGATTCCCAAATTGGTGACAGGTAGAGACCTGAGTCACGGTTAATTTTGTTAGGTTGTATATGCGCAAAGAATACATTGGAGAGACCGGACGAAAAATATCAACTAGGGTCAAAAAACACGAAAGAGCCTTACGACTAAGACAAATAAACTCTGTTGCCGAACACACTCATGAAACCGGACATCAAATTTTCTTCGATAAAACTAAAATTCTTGCCTGTAATCAGTTCTTCTACCAAGGAAAAATCCGAGAGTCTATAGAAATCGATGAACAACCTAAAAATCTTAACCTCGACTCAGGTCTCAACCTGTCACCAATTTGGGAATCAGTCATCCTAGACGGTGTTTATGCCCCTCATTTAGCTCCGCCCCCCTCAAACAATATATAAGCAGGTACAGAGTAAAACACGAGCCAGTTTCAGTCAAGCTCTGAAGAAACTAACAGGATGATTGGCGAAACGTCAGCAATTTTGACTCAGCAAAAACGGAAACAGGAGGAATCCAGAAGTTTTGTAAAACGTATTGCAGTAGCCTGTGGAAGTTTGAACTATGACACCCTCTATCTCGAAAACGAAGCATTTTGAGAAAACTTTCAAATAATGCGAAGCTTTAGTTTCCAAGAAAAACATCGCCTCTTGGCATCCGAAGCGTTTTCTAAGATTCATTAAAATTGTGAAATCCAGCTTTGACCATTTGTAATTAAACTATCGAAAATTATTGACGACGAAAGCGGATCCTAATGGAACAGAGAGTGTTGTAGTAAATAAAACACTTATTTTTCCATGGTTAATCGTAAAACTGCAGTCGTCCTCAGTTCGTGGAAATATTGTTACTGGCTTGGATTATTGCCTATTATAGCTTACAGTTAGATCTTTGGGAGTCGGTTTGTGCAGGTGACGTAAAGTGGGATAATTATTGGACTCGAATTAGAATCGATCGATATTTTGTATTCGCCCATTCGAACATCAGTCATTTGTGAGATACGTTCGCGAATTGACTGGAGCAGTGACATCCAACACAAATGAAAACTAATTAGAACATACTACAATAGCTTAAGATATTTAAAAGAGGCATCTTCGATGTAAGTCAATTTAGTTCGGAATATCCGAAATATTGCTTTTAACCTAGTGGTTTTTCTTGAATTTCTCAGAAAATAGATTTTTATTTTTTTGAGTTTCTGACATAAATATAGCTTCTGATTTTTTACTCACATAACCATAACAATTTTATTGCAAATCCAGAAATTTTTTGCTCTTAAAGAGTGCCTCTTAGTTCAATCAGCAAAATTGAGCTATTGTGTTTTGCAATTGCTAAAGATGCACATAGACTATTTTTTTGTAAATTCGTTTAAATAAATAAAAATATCCCAGGTGGTCGATATAAGCATCGATTTACTCGGACAGATAGATCGTCTAGGTCTGTTATCTGAATGTTTCAACGAAATATATGAAAAATTCATTTTTGGAAAACACAACAAATTTGGGGAAAATTTAATAGGACCATTTGTTAATTCTATAGCTCAATATCTGAGGTAAATAAATAATTTTCTGTTTGTAAGGAGAATGTCGTTATCAAAAAACAAAGTTGACAGTACTACCAAAACATGTGTTTTTCTCTATTATTTTTTTTTCTCCTCCCTACTATAAAACATCCAATTATAAATTGATCAGGCGTTCCAAAGCATCATTTTAAGACTTCAGCTTGATAATTTCAAATATTATGAAATGAAGTAAATTTGTATTAAACTTGAGTAAGTTGCCAAATTTTATATATTGTGTGTTGAAAGTTTTGACTTCAACGTAAATTTTTTGAATGTTGAAATTTTAAACGCCAGTTAATAATATACATATTAAATAGTTTTATAATATATTTTAATTAATGTGTTTTAAACAATGTAAACTTACTACTGTTTGCTGTTACTGCTGTTTACTGTTGCGTCGAAAAGATTTTGTTGGCTATAAGGCAAGGATATTTTTTTCAACAGTGAGGGCATATAAATCACAAAAAGTAATTGTTTTTTGAATTGTCAAATAAAAACTTAGTAACTTTAAAACTGTAGAAGTTATAAAGTAAAAAATCAAACAATCTTGAAATTTCAACTCTTGTAGTTTGAGTCTTTAGTTTTAGTTATGGAATAAGCCAAACAAATTTCCCTTTGTACATGTTATTTAGGAATACCCCGTATAAGTCCAGCAGTGTATTGCGAAGTTAACAGTTATTTATAAAATGGAAATTTGACCATCGAATTTTGAAAATTGTGAAAACCGAGAGTTATTTTGCAGGACAACAAAGAAAATAGCTTTAAAAGTATCCCGGAAGGACTGTGGTGGGCCATTGTCACCATGACTACGGTCGGTTATGGTGACATGGCTCCGAAAACGTATGCCGGTATGTTTGTCGGCGCACTCTGCGCTTTGGCCGGAGTATTAACCATTGCTTTGCCGGTTCCAGTCATCGTTTCCAACTTTTCCATGTTTTATTCACACACCCAGGTAAGAACAATTTATAAACTTTTACAAGGTGAGCAAAAAGTATGAAAAATTACTAAAATAAATAAGAAAAATTAACACCAGTTTCATTTAATAGCATTATTGATATTGTGCTTTCTTAGGAGACAGATCTACTTTTTTTTAAGAGATTTTATATATATTTTTTTTAATTAAATCGCAATTTACAAAATTTGTATTATCAAGCGACACATTCTTTAAGGAAAAAAAAACATAATAATATCATAATTAATTATTAATCTATACAAGGCTTAGTTTAACTTTTCAATGCTCATTAAAGCACGATGAAAAAGTAATATTTTAAGTCTGTAGGTCGCAATCATCTTTATCTATTCCTACCAGTACATTTTACCAATGCTTGGTACGCAATTAAATTTTATAAACTGGTTCTGAAAAAACATTTCACATTTTTATCCACACCATGTAGTTCTCTGATTTTTCGTCCTTTGCTTTAGTCACGTAAATCATTTTTTTTGTTGTCACTAATTTGAATTAATTTCTCTCTTTACCCTGAGAGTTGTGTATTTACGTAGCATGGTTAAATGTTAAAATCCTAAAATAACGTAAGGATGTTTCTGACAGCAACAGTCCAACATCAGCCATCAATTTTAAATGTAACGAAGCAAATCCGGCCCTCGCACTTTAACTGGCGATTTTAATTAATCTTCTTAAATTTTGTTGATATTAATAAGAAAGAGATTTTAGACCAGTTGCTTCAAAAATTTTCTTATTATTTATTTAAGTTGATAAAGGGTAAACTTAATAAGCGAAAATATTTTGATACATGAAAGAATAAGTATAAATTCTGCGCAATTTAATAAAATATAAAATATTGATTCAAACTACTGTATTTATTGTGTTTCCACACACCGTTAATATATAAAATGAACCTCCCAAATTTGATTTGTAACCTTGCAGCTCTTTTTTTTCAAAATTGTAATACAACTAACGCGACTTCTATTTGATTTATACACACTTTAAATATTTTGTGTTTCGTATGCCGCTTGGAGCTAAATTTTCACAGAGGTGGTTTGAATGGCGCTTAAATGTCTATTCTTAAAAAGTACGCACGCATGACTAGTTCAAAGAAATGCTCGTAACCCCAACAGCTGCCACCAAATATCCGGTGCCTCACAGGATGGGTTGAATTGTGGGCGTGAAAGCATTTTAATAGGCGTTAAAGGATGCTTCTGATGAATTACATATTTTTTTAGAAATGTTATTATTATAAAATATCAGTTTTATTATATTTCTTTGCGTGACGTCATAGCAAGACATCTTTATCTAGTTCATTGCTGGATGTCGAAACAGTAATTTGGCAGTTTTAAAGATCAAAATTTTGTAAATGAGATATACCGATCATTTTTGATTAAGTCACTATGCGTGACGTAACTGCACAACTGCTCTGACTGGACTATAAAAGTTGTTTGGGGATTTCTGGAATGCCGGTAGTTGTTTAGATCATTATCTTTTTATAAACGAAAAAATGTTATTTTATACGAGTTGCTAGTAAACTTGACTGTCTATTTGATTATTTATATAGCTTTTTATTAATTATTTGTATTTAGAGTTTATAGTTTACAAATAATTTTTTTTCTGACGACGTTTCTTGTTACTTACTAAATAGTCTTTTTTTCAGGTACACCAGAAATTGTTACTGACTCTCTTAACCCGCATTTACTTTTTCAGGCTAGAGCAAAACTTCCCAAAAAAAGGAGGCGAGTTCTGCCGGTGGAACAGCCTCGACGCAAAAAGGTGGAAAATATCGGCAATCGACGAGTGAACGCTATAAAACATCATCCTGGCGTCATAAAAGATGCTTTCGGAACAGCCAAACTCGGTAAGCGTGCGATATATTTTCTAATTGCAATTTGCAACTAACCAAAAATAACTTGAGGATAAGGAAATATTTACATACCATGCGGGCTTTTAGCAATTTAATGCAATATAATGTTTACTGCCCTCTGTTGACAAAGTTATCCAGTTGCGCTTCCTGTTGAAATTTGATTTCAAGGTTTCAACCCTCAGCGCACGTGCTGGCGAGAATAGTAATCCCTGACCGCCACAGATGGCGCGATAAGCTAGAATGTAAAACGAAATTTTGACGAATAATGTAAAGTCTGTTCATAGATATAAGATAGTGACTAACTATTACGAATGAAGGAAAGACCCGGGCAAGCTGTAAGAATGAAATATGGCCGAACAGGTCCGTACTTTGCTTAGAATTTAATTATTTGGGGTTTTGTTAGGTAATATATTAAAGAATATTTATTTATTTATTTATTTATGTATGTATTTATGTTTAAATTTAAAATTAAATTACAAATTATTTTTATTACCTACTTAAATTACTTAAAATTATTCACATAATATATCAGTATCACTATCGCTATCATTGCCTGTTCTAAAACCCATGTGTTGAATACACTTCAATAAGGTAGTTCTGCCACATTTAACACCGGTTTCATTTTTTTCAAGCCTCCTAATTAAGATATCTAATGTAGACACGCTTTGTTCATCGTATAACTGGTAAATTTTACGCTGATCACTTTCATCTACATTCGAGAAAATGTCAGCATCGCTTCTTTTTTTCCTCGCTGAAATGGGATTATTCACAATTTTCCATACAGTTGATGTTGGAATTTTCGTCAATGTGGCCGTCTCCTGAGATATACTAGACTCGCACATATTTTGCATAATTCGCACACGATTCAACGCACGCTCTATTACACGCGGAATAAGAATTAAGAACTAATAAACTCAAACTAAGTAGTATACCAAACAAAAGAATATTAAACACAGGTAGGTATAAAATTATTTTCTATTGCGGACCACAATTTTACCTGAATTTAAATTCCGAAACTTGAGGTAATAATCTTGTTGTATTGTATGTTAATGACCACCCTTGGATAATCCCATTGAAAGGCAATTGGTCACTTTCTTATATCTATGAACAGACCATACATATTTTTATTTCAGTTTGCGTTTGCGTGTTTTATTTGAGAGGATTCTTTTTTAATATGTTTATTAGGCGTTTAATTTTCGATTTTTGAAAGTAATTAAATAAGTAACGCATCGACTTTTCCAATCGTAGTGCCTCTCGTAATAGCAAACAAGAAAAACGAAGTGACGTACTCATTTGTTCTCAAATAGCTTACTTCCTAAGAATTGTGGTACTTGATATTTTATTTCAATCGGCTCCTTTCTGGCACACCCACTTAACACGAAGTTTTTAGCAAATAGATTTTATTTGAAAGTTAGGGTTTCGAGTCTGCTCTATTGAATTAAAATATTTTAAATGATCGATGTAGCATTTCGATTTTTAACAATAACTTAGTTATCCTTTTTGCGTTCCCTATATTTTATCGCATCATAAATTTACAGAGTAATTGAAAAAAAGGTGAAAAAATGATAGGCTATACCAAAGAAAAATCTAATTCAGTGCTGCGTAAACATTTAACCTACCATCAAGCATGAATGTGAGAAAGCTTATTACAAAATTTTTAGTTTAATGTGATTTTAGTAATTCATTTAAAAATAATATTTGAAAGTTACATTTGATCTTGTCTCTTAGTCTCTTAGCGAAAGATATGTAAGAATTAATAAAGTTGATCTTCAACTTCATCTTCAAAAATAAGAATTTGTAAACCAATAAAATCTCTACACCGTCCGCCACCAAACATCAGATGCATCGTAGTTAATTGTGAGTGTTAAAGCATCCTCACAGATGACGGAAGATGTACCAGAAAAATTATATATTTTTTAAAAATATTAATAATAAGAAGTAGAGGTTTCATCCGTTTATAACATTGTTTTTACATATTTATTAGCATAACTTCTACAACTCTACATTCATGAATTACCGTGTTGCAACAGTAGGCAATTTTGCAAAATAATCTATTTTCGTTGCTCCGCAAATATTCAAAATGTCCAAAATAACCAAAACTAACCCACCATTATCCATGAATCGTCCGGTATAATCGTGTATACGTTTTTGTGTGATTATTCTGTATATGTAATATGAAAGAACACACATGAACTAATATAAATTGTTTTATATGTGGCTTATTTACACAATTAGTTTTGCTCAGTTGCAATACTACACCACAAACCAGGTGTTTTAGCGTTAAGGACATATTAAGTTGGCATTACTGTTCAAGATGGCGACCGATTTAACAGCTGTCAAGTGATTTATTCTCAGTTTTGTTTGGTAATTCACCATGAACAGACTCACGCCTGAACAACGCTTCCAAATAGTGCGATTTTATTTCGAAAATAATGGTCAGATCAGTTAATTCGATTAACCATGGAACGTTTTCGCACCACGTTTACTCTTATTGATAACTCGCATCCCTAGAGACGCCGCACGGTGCGTACAGAAGAAGCTATTGCTGCTGTAGAGCGTAGCATTGAGGAAGATCCGAATGAGTCCATCCGCCATCGAGCACAGGATTTGGATCTGTGTGTATCCACTTTATGGAAGATTTTGCGGAAGGATCTTGGTTTACGTGCTTACAAAATCCAACTCGTGCAAGAATTGAAGCCAAACGATCATCAAGTAAGGCGTAGATTCGTCGAATGGGCCCAAAACGAGATTGCCGTTGTTCCCGATTTTCATAAGAGAATTTTGTTTAGCGATGAAGCGCACTTCTGGTTGAATGGCTACGTCAACAAACAAAACTGCCGCATTTGGAGCGAAGCTAATCTTCAAGTGTATGTCGAAACGATGATAGCCAGAACGTTACAGTCAATGGTGATCGGTATAGAGCTATGATTACTAACTCTTTCATTCCTGAATTGAATAACCATGATGTCCAGGAGATGTGGTTTTAACAAGACGGCGCATACAGCTCGTGCCACAATCGGTTTATTGAAAGACACGTTTGGTGACCGCCTAATTTCACGTTTTGGACCTGTGAATTGGCCTCCAAGATCTTGTGATTTAACACCGCTAGACTACTTTCTGTGGCGCTATGTAAAGTCATTGGTCTATGCGGATAAGCCACAAACGCTTGACCATTTGGAAGACAACATTCGTCGTGTTATTGACGATATACGGCCACAAATGTTGGAAAAAGTCATCGAAAATTGGATGTCCAGATTGGACTACATCCGCGCCAGCCGTGGCGGTCATATGCCACAAATCATATTTAAAATGAAATGCCACAAGATTATCTTTCGGATAAATAAAATTGATGTCAATCGAATAATCCATCGTTGTTTTATTGCAACCTAAATTTCTATACATCGAAAAAAAACACCCCTTATAAAAATCGATAACGTTGGACACAACTTCATCTTGAAGACTAAGAATTAGTAAACTTATAAAACAGCCGCTACCAAATATCATGTTGTCGCAGGTTGAGCTGATATCATAATATCTTGATATCTGATAAATTATACATTTTTTATAAATGTAAGTAATAACAAGTTTCATGCGTTTATAACAATGTTTTTACATATTTATCAGCATAACTTCTACAAGTTCTTCTTTGGGGATTTCTTGAATGCTATTTATTTCATATTCTTTTTATAAACGAAAGAAAACCGTTGGACACATCATATAATGAATTATTTTACAACAGTAGCTCACTCCGATGGAAGCAAGGGCCTATCGATTTTTCCTTTAAAAAAATATTTCTTACGAATTATTTAGATTGTAAATCAATCGGCCTATTTAACACTTCATTTTATATTTTATTTGAAACTCAGGGTTTCAAGTCTGTTGTAACGAATTAGAATATTTTGAAGCATCGATGTACCGTTTTCGCTTATATCAATAATTTGTACCCTAACTAGAAGTTGCTATATTTTATCACATTCATAAATTTGCTGGGAAATTTAATTGTCTTCTAGAATTTTTTATAATATTCAAAGATAGTCAGAAAAAAGAGGTTTATCTGAAAATGTGATAAAGTAATAGGCCATGTAAGGTATACTATTGGAGCAGCAACATCGCATCATGGAAAATAGTTTACTTCGATAGAGTCTAACCTACCATTAGCCGTGAATCATCCGGTATTGTTTTGTACACATTTTTGTGTGTTTATTATTATATTGTTATATCAAAGGCACATGTGAATAAAAATCGGTAAATTTTAATTCAACTGTATCTTAAAAACTAACAATTTGTAAACCTATGTTTACATGAATATTTTCGTTGCATTTTGTAAGCAGCAGCGACTGGTTCCGTGTAATACTAAGCAAGGGGTTTTCCAAGTCCCCCATTCATAATAATGAAGCAGTTTTCGTTTTTACCCATCCCTTGCGGGATAAGGGCGTTATTGACGGCCTCGTAGGGCCCACGTAAATCGTGCTTTTCTTGTAATTCTAGGTAGCGCGAATGGGCTCAACGTGATTGGAGCCACGCTGCAAGACCCGGCGACACCCAACTCTACCGCATTTCATCACAACGGGCCCTACGCTTTTCAGATGTCTGAAGGTAATAAGAACAATTGAAAGGGTCTTATATACGACTAACACTGAAAAATTATTCCACCAGTAAAAGTGACAAGTAGTGTTTTTGTTAAATTAACGGGTCCAGCGTAAATATACCCTTCTTTTTACCTATCTTGCCATCAGTTATTATGCAAATTTCAATCAGAAAAGTACATCGTGCTTCGTTAACCCAGTTCGGTCTGTCACTGTTATATACATTGAACAAATATTTACACAATTATATTGTTCTTACGTTTTGTTGATTACAGGCTTTACTCCGAGGAAACTGTCAATGTAAAATTATTTGCGGTTTTCTTGCATTCAGGTTCTCTTCTTTTCCTTTTTTACCATTGTGAAACCGGTGAATATCCTGAATTGAATATGCAAAAATATATAATAAAACACAAGGTGTTCCATATGAAATTGCCGAGTTGCATTTAATTTTAAGTAGATCTGACAAATACAGTAAAGATTCGGCACTTTAATTAAATGACTCTGTAAAGTTCATCTTCAACTTCACCTTCAAAAATAAGAATTTCTAAACCGGTGAAATCTCTACATGGTCCAAGAAGCCCAACATCCGCCACCAAATATCAGATCTGTTGCAGGTTAGGATTAATTGTTAAAAATATTAACATTAACATGTAGAAGTTTCATCAGTTTATAACATTGTTTTTTACTTATTTGGTAGCATACTTTGCAGGTTGAGTTTAATTTTGTGTATTAAGTTTTCATCCTTTTATAACCATATTTTTACATATTTATCAGAATAACTTCCACAAGTTCTTATATATATTATTATATTCTTTTTTTAAACGAGAGAAACCTCTTGGACACATTAAGAACTGATCGTTTTGCAACAGTAGCCAATTCACGTAAAAGCAGGGGCGTTACGATTTTCACCCTAATATGTTATTTCTTAAGAATTGTAGCGCTTCAGATTGTAATTAAATAGGCCTTTTTAACACTTAAGTTTCCAGGAAATAGATTTTATTTCAAAATCAGGTTTTCGAGTCCGCTTTCACGAATTAGAATGTCGATGTAGCTACATGTAGATACAGTAATATGCCCGTTTATCATTTTATATTCGGAAAGTTACATGACATTAATTGCCTGTTATTGTGCAAGGCATTTATTGAAAATATTGATTCAAAAATTTAGATTTTTGAGATTTTTGTGACAAGTTTTTGAATTGTATAGCAGAATAGAAAACTTGTAAATTTTTGTAATAAATAATAAATTCTATAAACATGCTCACTGACGTAGAATTGAGTCAGAGTAGACGGACTGTAGGTCTCTTATACTTTATATACTTTTTTCCAAGTTGTCAATATTTTTTAAAGAATGCTTTAATGCAGATTAATCCAAATATCTGCTCACGAATTTGTTTGAAAGTTTTGTCACTAAGACATTGTATTGGCCGAGGTGGATCTCACTAATGGCCTGCACTATCCCCGAATTTAAGCTCTTTAGATTTTCTCCAGTGGGACTAGCTTAATATTTTGGACCCTGTTATTTTTGATGGAGGTCACCAGTGAAAAATATTTTTGTGATACATAGAGATGCACTAAAATATTTTTAATTTTTTATCTCGGAATCGAAACAGGATATTTGAAAAATTCAAGAGACGAAAAAGTAGTAGTTTTAATCGCTTCAGCTCAGTGTCAAAATTAAATTAAAGGTAGCGGCGTACATTTTTATCAATAAATTTTATTGAGTTAAACCCGCTTAACTTTGCTGTTTAATTTTTATTTAATTGGAGACAAATCAGGCCCTAATCACTAGAAATAACGCTGCTAAATTTCAAAGAAATCCGATTGTGGACTTTTTCATAAAATGATCTAAGGAACCACCCTCTTAAATATTGTTATGTCTTTTTAAACACTCTGTATACTTGAATTATTAGAATTCCGAAATAAAAACAACTTTGTTTTAATCGAAAAGCTGTGCACCTTGTCTATCTACTTTTTCAGTTGATGTATTACTACGATTACCTATCTATCACTTGCCCATAACGACCAATAAAGCAACCACGAATTATGTGAATTTGTGTTGCAGTTGCTTTGCCTCTCACTGCTCCCCCAAGCATGGTGGTCACTCCACTGCAGCCTCGTCCAGCGACCACGGGCAGTGTCGATATGCTGCCTCTGCAACCAAAATACTTACCGGGATATTTCAGAGAGTACTGCTCGGAGCCTAGGGACACTCCATCACAATCCGGACACAGAGAAAATAGTCCGTCACGCAAATTGTCTACAAATTTTTCGAGCAAAATTTACCCACTGGAAAGTTCATTGGAAGCGGAATTGGGTCGAGCTAGCGTACCAGCGATGGCAATCGGCAGCTCGACGGAGGTATTGGTGTGCATCGTTGAAAACCAGGCGAAACTTCGAAAAAGCTCCTTCATTTCGGGTAATATTATTTATGAGATTTTGCGTGTCTTTTCTAAAAAAAGTATTTACACAATTTTTTTTATAAAGCTAAATAATCACTGGGCAAACAGTTTCGCGCGTTCTAAAAATATCACCAAGGCGCGAAGTCGGGTAACGTCATAACGTTTTTTTTTTCGACTAAAACATACAATAACAACAACGTTAATAAAGAGACTTATGGGTGGTTCTGTTTAAACTGTGATTTTTTGTTTGTGTTTATTATCTGATCTCACTGGTGATAATTAATAATCTAATACTGAATTTTTTATATTAATTGAATGATCATCAATATATTTCATCATATTTTTTATATAACATAATTTGGGGAGATGTCATGTCCATTTCTAAAGTTTATCTAAAAATTATTAATTTTTTTGTAGCAAATGATTTAAAATAATTACCTCATAAATTCTCACTTCTATGATCAAACTAAAGTAATTTAACACTTTTTGGTTAATGTTTTAAGTTAATTCCGGTTCAATAACTTTTGTCTTTAAAATTTAACGAAGTTTTGAATTTTAATTTGAATTTATATGACTCGAGCGCCACCTACTTTGAGATTTATAAAAGGTTGATGGAGAATGAGTCAGTACCACGTAACGGAAAATTTGACATTGGTTTCTCGTTCTTGACTCTATATTGTAGTAAAATCTTTTGAGGCTTTTATTTTTGCTTTAAAATAAATGCGCAATTTGTATAAAAAATTGTAAACGTCTAATAAAAAAAAGGTATAGTTAGAACAGAATCATCCTTATAAATAGTTAACGATGATGATTAATAGCTCGGGAGGCATAGAAGGCCTATGGCTTGGTTGATTTTTTCCCCATTTTTTTCTGCTTCTGCGTTTCTTCTCTAGTTGTTAATCCCCATTTCAATTATGTCCTTTAGCACCTCGTTCATCCATCTCAGCTTATGCCTGCCTCTAAATCTGTCCTTCTTCATTCGCTCTACGTGTCCTCTCCATCTTCTGACTTGGTGAGGTGAGGTTGATCATACTCTTGCAGTTCCTCATTGCTTCTTCTTTACCTTTACCCAACGTCTTCCTTTGCTTTAAAGATTGTGTGAAAACACTTTCTTTCCGAGACTGCTAGCATGTTTTGCTCGCTTTTGTCCATGGTTCATGTTCCGCTTCCAAATAATACTAAAAGTCTCAAAACTGACATGTAAATTCTTAGTTTTGCATTTCTAGGCAACAATTTGCTATTAAGTAATTTCCTAAATTTATATATATATATATATATATATATATATATATATATATATATATATATATATATATATATATATATATATATATATATATATATATATATATATATATATATATATATATATTCTCACGTATTGATTCACAGATGGAAAAATGTGATGACACTATATTCCGGGATATCATCCGTTCGCTCGTTGAACTCCGACTGGAATCCTGCATCCGACTGGAATCCTGCAAATCCTGCATCCGACTGGAATCCTGCAGACGTTTCGCCAAAATCTCACTTGGCATCTTCAATGCTCGCGCTCCGAAGTGTTCGAAGTGTTTTCGGAGCGCGAGCATTGAAGATACCAAGTGAGATTTTGGCGAAACGTCTGTAGGACTCCAGTCGAATGCAGGATTTGCAGGATTCCAGTCGGATGCAGGATTCCAGTCGGAGTTCAACGAGCGAACGGATGATATCCCGGAATATAGTGTCATCATATATATATATATATATATATATATATATATATATATATATATATATATATATATATATATATATATATATATATATATATATATATATGACACTATATTCCGGGATATCATCCGTTCGCTCGTTGAACTCCGACTGGAATCCTGCAGACGTTTCGCCAAAATCTCACTTGGCATCTTCAATGCTCGCGCTCCGAAAACACTTCGAACACTGGAGCGCGAGCGCGAGCATTGAAGATGCCAAGTGAGATTTTGGCGAAACGTCTGTTATATCATGCTTGACCCCGTGATATTATGTTACTCGCAACTGCAATGTGCCTAATGTAAGTGGATATGCCCCACAAGTATTATTTTATTTCTAATTCAAAACAAGTTGTTCCTTCAACATAATCTATTGTGCAAATATGTACCTATGTATTTCCATTGAATCTTTTTAAGAGGCTATCGATATTGTCCAGTTAATTCTACTACTATTGTTGCAGTGTTACATACATACATACATACATACATATTTTAAAATAATAAATATCCCAAACGCAATCATTTTCCACCCGAAACAAATTCAAATTTGGTAATGATATTGAAATCTTGCATTGTCACCTCTACGAAATTTAAAAAAATCCAGTTTTAAATTTCTTTTTTTAAAACTTCTGGATTCCTCCTGGTTCGATTTTTTTTGGGTCGAACTAGCTAACGTTTCGCTTCTTCAGAGCTTGGTTGAGAAATCCTGAAGTTTTATAAAAAGTATTAGAGTAGCCTGTGAAAGTTTCTTTCAAAAGTGTTTAAATGGTTTTGCAAAGAAAATCTCTAATTTTTTTTTTCCATTTCGATTTTCAGGCAATTTGACAATAGTAATGATGCGGTATCATTTACAGAGACGACGGCACCGTTGGACGAGGCGAACAATAAATCTGTCAACGTAGAGTTGTCTGTGTCGGCAGAATCCACAGCTGCGAATGCCGAAACCGAGAACCCAGTTTTCGACGGGAAAAACATGAAAAACGGACTTGATAACGACATTGACGCGCTGAAAGATGAACACATTCAGAAAAGTGTGGTCGTTTAAGTGTTATTTTAAAATTGCAAATTGACGGCATTATCAAATCAGTGTGTTTTAAGTTCGTACGGTCTGTATAAGTAAAGGGATGGCCTTTTATTTTACTTATCTCTTGGTGTAATAATAAAATCGAATGTCCTAAAACTAGAAGTCGACATAAACATGGGCTTAGTTTCCCGTCCGTAAAATTTATGCATAGAAAGCCACTAATCTACCTACCGATTTCGCAATTGCATTGATTCCAACCTACGTGTTTGTTTATTACAGTAAGTGGAGGGCATGAACCTATCGATGTGATGTATATTATTAAGTTTAATTAATCCCTGCTCCGGGATAGCAAAAATTACAAAATTACTACCAATATGAAAACATCAAGTGCTCAAAATTTTAAATCTAAGCGAGGCAGAAAAAACGTCTATTTCGGGAATTTCATTAAAAATCATTCGATGGATGCTGTATTGAAATTAATATGTCCAGAAAGCCCCTCCCGAATAATCTTATCATAGTAGGAAATTTCTGATTTATCGCCTCTCTAAAAATATACAGTGCTTGAACTAGCCAAAAAAACATACAGGTTCCTATTTAATGATTTTCGGATTAATTTTATCCACTCATCTAAAGATCGCTGTCCAACCATCTCCTATATGTAGATCAGTGGCGCAAAAAAAAAACGAAATCTTTGGTTACTATATGTAGATCAGTGGCGAAAATATATCCGAAATCTTTGGTTACCGAGCTCGAAATTTGCAATTCTTTAATCTGCGCTGTCATCTGTGGATCAGTTGCGAAACTAAAACCAAATTCTTTGATTAGGAATCTATAACATCTTTGGTTTGTTAGGAATCTGTAATTTTCGTATCTCCGATCTCTCGGAGGACGGAAGTTTTAGAAGTTACGTACCCGTACTACTAAAAAATTCTTCGAAGACACAAGCATGATCACAATTCGAAGACTTCGAATTGGAGAACTTTTGTGTGTTGGCGACTCTAGTAGTGTGCGTTTCGAACGTGACTTTATCCTTCTTCTTTACTTAATAGGTCATTACATTTTATGTGGGCAGATGATTCTTAATAAATAGAATCATACAGGGTGCAAGGTGTAATGAACGTTGTGATAGTTTTTGATTATGAATTATTATCCAGCTTTTAGACCATGCCGATTGCGTCTTTATAATTCGATACTGGTTCAATTTCTAGCACAAATTCAATATTTTAGAACTATGGAACGTGTCAGTTATAAGAGAACATTATACCAAATTACCAAAATTAAGATATCGAATGTTGCTTTTAAATTGTGCAACCTATTTTTCCGTAAAAATTCAACTTATCTGGTATTCTGACACTTGTATCTCGCCAGTAAATGCGGTTTTTGGCTTAATCTTTCTAAAACTTCTATACTATCGAATTTAATATTAGATATTTGCTTACATTTGCAAAAAAGCTCTTTTTACTGCGGTAATGCTTATTAGAGCGAGCTAGTGTGTTCAGTTATATTAATAACGTTTAAAAGGTAAACTAGAAAAGTTTCCTTACTCCTAACTTTGGAGACGGCAAGGTCTAATAATTGGTTTGGACTTTGTTCAGTCCCAATTTGAAGAAAAGGTTACAATTTTTAACCGATTAAACAAATCGACCGCGTTTGCTTTGTTCCTTCTCTACATCGATTAATTCAATCCCCCGTAAAGCCGATTATAGGTTCAACCCTTGTTTGTAATTTAATCCATTGGTTGACCAAGCTTACATACAACACATCGGTTAATCCTTTCGGAATCGAAACAAAAAAAGTTCCACAATAAGACCGATATCGTATTAAGTTGTTCTAATGCACATTTGCAATATCTGTCAAGATTTAAGATGACCAATCTTGAAGGCTTAATTTTAATTTATGTGGTAAATGATCTCGGGCCCAACGAATGCAGACACTGGAAAGAGAATATATTTTGTATATAGAACTATAGCATGCTGCACCACGTTTAGTGTAAAATTTGGAGCAATTAAAGGGATGTTTTATAATATGCGTATTACTTACTCCGGTAGTAATGTACATTTTTGTACACAGGGTCGTAATAATTTATTTTTGTTTTGTTTGATTTGGTTCATCAAATAAAAACCCAACGTCAGTGGCTTGGGTTTTGTAGAAAAGCTGCAGGACCAACTAGATTAAAGTCACTGAGGTGACATCAAGCTCAAAAATTACTGCGAAAGGCTAATAGGCATGCGCAATTAAAATTATTTAGGTTCCTCTAACCTTTTTGTAAGTCACCAGTTTAATTCATTTTCGTTTCTCTCAAACTAATTGTTCAACTACTTTACTTTACTTTATAGGGGTAGTATTGTTTCTGTGATTATGGTCATGCCTTCGTGTTTAAAATTAGAATTAAACTCACTTTCCAGCAGTTGTTGGGAAAGTTTTTTCTTGGAAATGGGTAGTGTTACTGAATTTGTTGCTGACAAACGGATTAGTAAAATTGCGCTTTCTAGAAAATTGTTATTCTCGACGCGTTCAGAGCTCTTCGCCACAAAAAAACATTCAGAGTCGCAAAAATAAATGAAATATATGCAGCCAAAAAAAAAACACGAGGATAAACGCGGCCCCCTCAGGTTAACGAGAACTACGGGAATGAAACAAACTGTAATAAATAAGGATATGAAGGTTGCCATTAGAACAATAATTCACTCTTTTTACCTAGACCTTGGAAAAAATACAACTAATTGATATGACTACGCGGAATATGATGACTAAAATTTACAAATGAAATTGTATCGTAAATAATAGATTTTGCAAATTGTGCAACTTAGTGTAACCATAATTTAATAAAGATTTGAGGTGTGTAGGTATTAAAACCATCATTGCAATTTATATGAACTGTACTACATAACCTAGTTGTCTACCGTTTTTAGCGATTGCATTTTATTACACTCTCGCTTCATGAAAGTCTGGTTTCGAATTTAATAAGACATGACAAAGTTTTATTTAAAAAAAAATTGAAAAAATATGTCCCCATCACTCAAAATCTTTTTTCCCTTCCCTTCTCACCCCCACCCCTCTTCGTCAATCATCTTGTTTTCCTCTTTCTTTTTCTCTGTCCCTCTATCCCTCTACCATATTTCCTTTTCTCTCTCGTTCCCATTTAAATAATGAAATTATTAAATCAACAGCTGACGGCTACTTTGAAATATTTTTTCCATCGACATTATAAATGAACATAGAAATTAATTGAAAAGAAAAGTAAAATATTAATTAAAAATTCTCAAAATTTTGCTAATAATTTTGAAATAAAACGTCAAATACAAAAGATTTTTAAAAAATAGTAAGCTATTTGTACGATATATTTTTGTTGCAGAAATCACCCACAGATATATTTTTTAAAGGAAGGCTTAATAATATGCCCTCTACACAAAATTCAATAGTTTTTGAGATATATGTGCTTTTAACATAAAAGCAACATTAAAAAATAAAATAATATTCTAGAATTTATAATTTATATTTTAGGTGGAGTGAAGTAGGTCGTCACTAAAAACCATATGTTTGTTTATAACTGACAGTGACAGTTACTTATGTAGCAAAATTATGCTCTTTTTGTCATACATAAAATTCCTTATTCAAAGTAACGTCGAAGAAATGAGGACCTATTATCCTGTTGTTTTAAATAGCACAGTATATATTTACAGTTTGATGTCCTTGAAATTGAAATTCCCTGTAGCACTGAGGATTTGAAGTGGACCACCATCTGTTGTTTTTTCGATTTATCATATCACTGGTTGATAACGATGACTCGTCGGTCCAAAAAACATTTTTCAAATAAGCAACATTTTGTGGCAGGCCTTATTTTGAATGAATTGTATCCTGCTTTTTTGAGAGTGGTTTGAATCTTCCCGTACGTTGTATTTTTTTGATGGAATGGAAATAGTGGGATTTTCTTAAACTCTCAGTAAAGTCTTTAAATCACTATCTTCCAATGTTTTTTTTTCCAGCTAGGTTGGATGATTGGAAATTTTTCATAGATTCGATGAAAGGTTTTTGTCTAGATCATGCATTGGGGGGTTAATTACACCAATTTAACCCTCTTACTTGCTTTAACAAACGTTCTAAACATTTTGTGATTTCTGCAACACCCTGTATCTAAAACATATATCTTGAAATTAGCTTACTATTTATTAACCAACTTTTGTGTTTTTGACGTTTTTTGCCCAAACGTTAAATAAAAAGTTAAAGTGGGAGGACATTTCAAATGATCATCCGATACAATCAATTTATTTATGCCTTAATTTATCAAATTTGTAATTGGCAAAGTTTGCATTCCTGGTAATTAAATAATTGTGGTCAAATTATATCCGCTGTACTGTTTGCAATGTTTTCGTTATATTTTTCGAGATTATTTTTCTAGAAAATTCAAGCGCCTAGAACGAGTCCGAAAACAATAACAATGAAGAGATTATTTCGACATTTGCATGGAAATTCGCAGCAACGTATAATTTAAAAGTGCTTTAAACTAAAGCCATACTTATGGGTATAAAACTCAACTACGGTAAGTATAAATTATTACTTTTATATGCATGGCGAATAAATTTGTTTTCTTTGTTGAGATCTGATTAAAGTTTAGTAGTTTTCCTTTGCCTTTGACGTCGGGGTGAAAAAACGTAAGGTGGGTTAGTTGACCTCGAATTAGAACCGCGCCATTGCGTACAGGATAGTCTTTTAAATAGACAGATCCAATATTGAAATTGTTTCAACATGTCGCGGTCCGGTTTATTAATGGCAAGCGGTTATGGAAAATTAAAATTCGATTTGTGATTTACGTTTATTCCGAAATGATAGCGGTGTGTAATTCATCACCGATAGCGCCGAAAACTGTCAATAACTGGTAACATCAAAATAATTGCAGCGTTGTGTTGTGCATATAATGGCAGGAAATAATAAACGATATTGGTCACGGTGGGCGTTGATTGCCTACGTTGCGGCTGAATTTGTTGCCTTTCTGTTACCAAAAATATAGAAGCAGTGAGCTAGATCTAAACTAAACTAAATTTTACAAGTGAAAAAAGAAGACCTTTCTTGATTCTTGTCTTTCTGTTGCTCATTTATATAAGGCTTTGTCGTTGTTTTTATTTATGGACATAATTCTTTCTGAAACTTTGTACACATTGATATGTGAGGATCAAGAAATATTTTCCTTAGATATTTCAAAAATAAAATTTATAGCATTTTGCTTTCTTAAAAATTAAAAGTAATAAGAAACAGATTATGTGAGAGAGGTTATACATGATGACCATTTTTTGTGTGTTTGTAAGGGTCACAAATTATCCTTCCTTACCCCTCTCCACAAAAAGGGCAACAAGGAAAACTGCGACAACTATCGAGGTATCGCAGTGGCGAGCTCAATCGGTCGGATTTACGGTAAAATATTAAAGGCCAAAACAGAACGCGGGAAGATCCGTCGTTGACTATCTGTTTTGCGTCACCCAGCTTATCGAGAAAATGACAGTTTTCAATAGAGAGATACATCTCCTGTTCGTGGATCTGAAGAAGGCGAAACTTTGGGAAGCATTAGACCAGACAAATCTAAGCGTCAACATAATAAGATCAGTGAAAGAACTATATAGAAACTGCCACATTAAAGTCAAGGTCGGCCAGAAAATGTCCAATGGATTTACACCCAACAAGGGACTCAAACAACAAGACGGTCAGGCTATCAAAAGCTGCGAAAACTACAAATACCTGGGAATGTACATATCCAGCAGTGGGACGTTCTCGTGGGACCAAAATATCACGAGACGAAACAAACACCTAATATACAATACGATCATTAAAAGCATAGTCACAAACAGCAGTGAAGTTTGGTCACCAAAAGAAAGAACCATGAGAACGCTGGAAGCAACAGAGCTGGACTTTTGGAGAAGAGCGGCAGGAAGGTCAAGAACCGAAAGAGTCCCAAACGAAGCAATTCGCACAACTATGAAGGTGGGCCACACGATTTCAGATGAAATAAGAACAAAACAGTTAAAGCGGTACGGACACGTCCAAAGAATGGAAGAACAGCGACTGCCTAAACAAATACTTACCTGGACACCTACAGGAAGAAGGAAGAGGGGAAGACCGAGAAAGAGCTGGAGAGAGGGCATCGATGGAGAGGACTGGACGAGGACCTATGGAAGGACAGAAATCGATTGGGAATCGGACGACGTCGGAGGACGTTTTAAAAACCGATATATATATATATATATATATATATATATATATATATATATATATATATATATATATATATAACATTTTTATCAATTCTGCCACTTTTAAGAATGCCTTTAGTGTATGTCCCATCAAGACGCGAATCCCCTCTTTCTATATAAATTTAACAATTTAGGCTGATTGATTATATGGTCTTGACGCTTTTTTGGTCTTCAATGTATTCTGTGCATGTAAGAATTCGACCTTTGTTATTTCAGGACCTTCATCTGTTTCCAAGATCAAATTTTGATCGGAGAAATCCGCCACATAATTTTTCCACGTTATTAGTTTTTCTTCTGTATCTATTATTATTTTGTCGATTTTTTTTCTTCAAGTGCCGCCTTCGTGACCATATCACAAAAAGGTCAATTTAGAAAGTAAATTTGTAGTTTTTGTTTTATGAAGTAATTTAATAATTTTCGAAAATACGTGAACAAACATTTTTTTAAACAGAAACATAACATTGAAAAGCGGTCTGCCAGTGAAACGTAATTTTTTTATGGTTTTCTTCATTTAATTTCTCCCCATATTGTGCAAAGATGCCGCTTATTTTTAATTCAATAGCAATTTCCAAAAGCTCCTGAGCGCATCTGCCAGGGGTGATACAAATGTCGATATCCTTTCTTCACAACGTTCATGGCGCTATTCCGAATAAATATTAAGATATATTAAGCGAAATCTTCTATTGAAATTAATAGGCAGACAAAATTAATTTAAAATTAATTACACCTTGAAAACTCCGAATTGATATCGATTATAATATTAGTCAGACAAATTTGATGCTTAACGTTTTTGGATGAAACCAAGATATTTTTTGGTCGTTTCCAAAGTTTCTCTTGCGAAATATTGCAATGTTTTTCCAAAACTATTATTACACGTTTTTCAACCAGACTGCTTAAAGGCTAGAAAAATTAAACCTGTTATTAAAGTGAGGGAAAAGTATAAATTCATAAACTACCGACCGGTATCCACGAGGTCTGTTCTTTCCAAAATTTTTAAAAATATCTTCGAAAACACAATTTTGAATTTTCTAATTAATTTACGGTCTTATCAAGCTGTCAGCACGGCTTTATAAAGGCAAGTTTTACACTCCGGATGCGATACAATAAGTTTAACGTCTAAAATTACTGGCGATTTCAACAGTACTAAAAGCAGCTTATGTATTTTTGCCTCTCCAAGGCATTTTGATAAGAAAACCTTCAACAATGTGGTTTGACCTGTATGTTTTAACTTTTGAGTTTTTTAAGATGAAATTGATAGGCTCACTGACGAAACAGGAGGTCACTGACAAAACAGAGTACTTCAAGGTAGGTAGGTTCATTTTAATATATGTTCCCAGATTTGTTCAAATTAAAAAGTTTCAAAAAATTGTTTTGCCGAAGATACAGCCGTATTTTAGGAGGCAGATACTTGGAAAGAGTTAATGCATCTAACTGAACAAGATTTCCCAAATAGTAAATACTTAGTCCAAAATAAATATTCTCTCTTTAAACTATGGTGAAAAGAAGTATTTACCTTTCCCATTTTATCAGAGTTAAATGTCTTGCTTAAAAATAAGCAATAATTATAAAATTTCGGAATTAACATCTATCAAGTATCTAGGAATAATTATAGACAGGCATATGTCATAGTATTTGCAAATTCAAAAAATTGCTGTATATAAAATAGATGAATTATTACCAAAATTTCGATATCTCAATTAATTCGTAGAAAAAAATCAGCCTTAGACTACTGAGGTTAAGGTGTAGTAGTTGAATTTTAAATTTTAAATTTTTAAGTAATACTCAAAAAAAAATGTATATATATATATACATATATATATATATATATATATATATATATATATATATATATATATATATATATATATATATATATATATATATATATATATATATATATATATATATATATATATATATATATATATATATATATATATATAGAGTTGAAAAATATGCTTTTCTTGGATCCTTGTATATTTTTTATAGGTTGATTCTTAGGGTTTGGTCCACAGTGAACAAAACTCACAAATAATTTTAAAACACTGTAATTGTCATTGACGTTTCGACCGGCAACCCAGGTCTTTCTCAAAAACTGCAAAACAAAGGACAAAAAAAAATCGTATGTATATATATATATATATATATATATATATATATATATATATATATATATATATATATATATATATATATATATATATATATATATATATATATATATATATATACATAACCCATAGCTAATATTGTTTATCCATATATATGTAAACATTTTAAAATATTAATTTCCTATACGAATATACATTTTTTATATTTATATTTTCTGGTAATTTGTTAAACTCCGAAGAAGTGCTAAAAGCTGGATTAAAAATACCCTTATTAGTTATAATATTGAGTCTAGTTTTATAGGTATGAACCACCGTAGCAAAGATGGGATTTGAGTTGTCTATTTATTTATAACTTTGTATACACAGGGTATTCGGAAATAGCTGTCGAATAATGCTTGAATGAAATAAAAAAATAGGCCCATACAGAGACAAGAAAAATTACGTTTTAAGTTGCTTAATTTGACAATAAATTGATATTGGTAAAAGAGCCAGTGTCAAAAATATTTTACTTAATAAAACAATTTAATTTAATACTAATCCCAAATTGCCACAACAACACTATAAAATGTCCACAAAATTTGTTCTTGTAAAATCACCTTAAATTATTGTAACGTTATTTCGCGACATTGATCGAACTTCGATATTCTACTTAACCGTAAGAAAACAGAAGAACGAAAGAAAGAAAGAAAAGAGAACTGTTAATATTTTGTAATGCGTTCTAGAGCGAACACTTAGATAATTTCGGCATCTCTACAGCTGGTATTTGTAGCCATAAATCAACGTTATTGGTATTATAATAAAATTGGTAAGATCCCCTAATCGTTCATCGATAAGGTTCGTCATCGGGCGATACATAGTAGGAGCCGACTTTGTTCATTTTCACGCAAAACCCAAAAAGGGGTGTTCCTCTTGACTCTGCGTCAACTCTGAAACGTTCGTTTCAGTCAGTCTGTTTCAGGTCGCGTGTAACGCCGGTTCTCGACTCTTGAATTTCGTTGCTGTATCTGGCGATATACACATCATTCATAAGGGGGTTGTTCTCTAGAGACGGACAAGTTCTGACTTTGATCAACGGTAGTACAGTGGTGGGGCAGCAGATTGAGGACAGCATGTGACACGACGTCTGATTAAACCACGTGCGATAGCGAGAAAAAAAAAGTAAAAAAAGCAAATGCCTAGGTCGAAAAATAATCGATATTTTGCCTTGTATGTATATACTGGAAATCAGGTCAAGTGAAACAGTGTCTGAGACTGTATGGGAGAGTTAATTATATTTTCGCATTTCTGGATATGCGATTCGGGCATTATTAAATGCGAAAGAAAATAAGGTAAGACGAATGCAGCTGAAAAATCTGAAAAAGCTTAGACGGAATGTCATTTCAAAACAAAAGATTCCATTTTCAATTATGCAACCGTATTATGAAATATGGATTACAGATTGTTTTAAACTATTTCTCGAACGCAAGAAACAATTAAAAGGATAATCTAATTGTAATTAAGTAATAGTATCCGAACCTCGGGGTGGGCTGTGGGGCGCAACAGGTAAGGAGATAAACAGCTTGAAAGAAGCTTCGGCAGTAACTTGGGATTTCGATTTATTTTTATTGGGATTAAAAATTGCGGTATGACTGCTGCAATCGAAAGTAAAGTCTAATGAAATTCGGGTCTAAGCTTTGCGGTCGGGATTATGACATGTTAACATGAGCAAATATCGAAAAGGAAGAAACTAACCAATGGAATGACTTGTTCTTAGTAGTTCCGTTCCAAGCTATTGCAACGTGTCCTTCGCTCTATGAAATATAAATTTTATGGCGCGGATCTTAATTTTTATTTTTAACAATATTAGAAAAATTTCCCTTACAATTTGTACCAGTTTAGAATATTGCTTATTATATTCAGTTAGGTAATAACTAGAATTTAAGCATCAATGCAATTTTTTTGAACCATTTGCATTTATAAATATACACAAGCAACTTTTTTTTCCATTTTCGGGCACACAAAACCATTGATAATATCTTACTTCAAGGAGTAATTAATATACAGTGTGTCCCACTTAAGAACTATACATCTTTGTAAAATCTTTGTTTATGGTTCGATTTTGATAATTTTTTCTGGTTGGATAGGTCTCTGAAAAATGCACTAAAACCTTGTTTTGCTTATTCCTTCAGCTTAAAGCCATGGCCAAGTTAGACTATTTTTTTAAAAATAGATTGGCAACGAATTTTTGTTCAGGAGTACTTAGAACCCAACAATACCAATTTTTATAATGTTTCAATACAGGGTGTTTGAAATATCGTTTGCGCCCACTTTAAAACCTTATGTTTCTTATTACATCAAGCTGAAGTCCTGGCTAATTGGGACTGATTTTTGATGTCAAATATCGAGAAGGGCTATTAGAGATTTCTTTGAGAATAAAATGTCAACGAATTCCTATTCATAACTACATAAAACCTAACTAAACTGATTTCCATGAAATTGGAATACAGCGCGCTTAAGTATTACTCCTGTAGAATGTTTGTTAATGGCTCAATTTTGATAATTCTTTTTTTGCTGGATAGATTTTGCTAAAAAGAAATGAAACTGTTTTTCGTATAGCATCGACTAAAGTCATGGCTAACTGACACAGTTTTTTGAACCCTAAAATCGAGAAGTACTTTTATAGTATTTTACCAATTGAAAATGATAACAGATTTGTGTTCAGGACTGCCTAAAAGTAACTAAATCAATGACCAAAGTTTTTAATGTTTAAAAAAAATAAACATTGTAAACCTTGTAAATAACGATTATTTTGTATGTGATTTTAAGATCTTACAAATTTTAATTATACAAAATTTAAAAATAATAATAAAAAAGGCTTTTTAATGGACATTTATTTTTTAGTATCATCTTAAAATAACAGCATTAATAAATCTTAGTATTCGAAAGACAAACAAAATTAAAATATAAATTAGCGAGTGAATTTGAACGTGGAATATTAGCTTCTTCATATCAAACTTGGTTTTGCAAAGGAAACAGTATGCCCACGTCAATCAATTCTGATATTTCTGTTATTTTTATTATTAGATAAAGAATTGAATACCTTTTTTAATTAAAAAATACAGCTTGGAAAAGTCTGTTTAGTTCATATCTAACCCTCTCTAATCATATTTACTTTTGAGAAAATCGTTAGTGTCTTGGTATTGGTATTAAAGGGGGGCGCCCTCGCGGGCGTCCAAGCAGTTAGGTCACCAGATGGGCCCGTTGTGCCCCCAGGCCGCTCTAGAGGGCGTCCAGAATGCCGCCCCTCCTATAGAAGGTCAGCAATTCCTTTAGCCCAATACCGTGCACTGAGTCCGGATCGATCAGGGCCGTTCCGAAGACTCCCAATCTTGCCCATGTCAAGGCAGGGCACTCGGTGAGCAGATGATACGGGGTCTCCTCCCCATCCATGCACCACCTACACTCCGGGTCGTCTCCAATGCCTAGCAAGCAAAGATGCCTCCTAAGCATGCAATGTCCTGTGTAGGCCCCTGTTAGTGCTCTACACTTCCTTCTGGTCAGTCTAAGCAGCTCCCTGGTCTGAAGAAGGGCGGACCCATCTATCATAAGCCTCGCCTGCCTCATTCCCGGAGCAACTCTCCAGCCCCCACGGCCCGGTCTCTCGCCCCGGCTTCGAGAGCTTCCCGCCTCACACACGGGGCGATCCCCAAGCGGGGCTCTGGCCCTATATGCCTATGCGAGGAGCCGTTAGTGTCTTTCAGTGAAATCTATATAACAATAAAGAATAATCAAAATTGAGCCATAAACAAACATTCTACAAGAGTAATGTAGTACTTCCCTCTTTTTTGATAAATAGTCTGAGTTGGCCATGACTTTAGTTGAAGCAATAAGCAAAACAAGGTTTTAGTGCATAGTGCATACACTGTATATTATATATTATATTAAATAATACTTTATATTTTACATAAAATATTTCAGCTTTTTGTGATTTCTTAAACAAATAAAAACTTCACAAAAACTTAAACAGATGGATGCTGGTTACTATCCCCTAAATATTTATTACAAGCCCTAATGTGGTGTTTTGTTTTTTTGTTGTAGAACGCACCGTTTATAAGATAAACTAATTCCATAAGCTTTATTATTATTCCCAACCCCCCATTTAGTATTCTTCGCGGTGTACTGTCTCAAGGATCAAATAATCTCTGAATTTGGCCAGTTTCAACAAAAGTTAAAGAAGAATTGACAAAATTAGAGGATTTGTAATAATTTTGGTACCATGCTCTGAAGCCAAAAGAAACACCTTTCATAAAAACGCCTAGAAAATCCAAAGTCCAGAATTTTCAGAGTATCTAAAACGTCTTCAAAAAGTAATTCATTGGAAATTACTGAGACTGAATTTATCTTGAAAATACAATTGAAAATTCAGCGGTGCATAACAAAAGAGGTAGATCGGATTACTATAAAATTGTGGGTTATAATGCGCCATTTCCAATATAGAGGGGATCAAAATATTTTTATTTGTCTTTGTTTTTTTTTTGCTGAATTGCTAAATAACGAAAATTCGCAGATGCGGATTTTTTGGTGTGAGAAACTTGTGTTTGTTCGTAAGTTAGCTCTTACTTTTTGGAAGCGCAACCTACATGCCCTTCCTCAATTTCATGACTTTTTCACAATTTCACAATCACTTTTAAGTAAAAGAGTTTGTGGAGGAAGTCACAGTATACGAAATATTTGTAAAATAACCTTTTTTCAATCAATATGTATTATTTTTAAATAACATCAAAGAAACAAATGCTAAATAAAAACTGGTTAAAAATTAAAAAAAAAACTAAGAAAAAAGTTTGACACCCTGTATTTCGAAGCACATATTTAAAGTAAATTTAATCTTAAAAACTTGTTGGGATTACAATGGCATCCAATCGGACAGAAGAAATAATTGAGTTCGTGTCAAAACAATAAAAAAAAGTAAATATATTTTTCGCAAAACCATTTTATTAATAAATGTATTTATTTTACAAAAAAATTAATTTAAATATAATAAAATATACTCTAAAAATGTCTTAGTTGGGAACTTGCAACCTTTCCAACTTACATTTAATATCAGAGCAAAATTGATCTTTCTTATTACTAATTTTTAATAAATTTTAATTGAACATGCTAGAGTCACACAATATAAGGCGCAGCGAAAACAATTTGCACCGATTATGGTCCCAAACGGAGGTAACTATAACTACTTACCTCCGTTTCAAATAATTAGCAAAACTAATACAAATGAAAACTTTCGGAATAAATTTCAAACGCTTTATTCTCACAAATTAACGACCTGACCGTTTCAAGGAAAATAATTAAGGAACTTAAACCATATTTCATATTTTCTATAAGCCGTGTTGCTAAAACGCTTTAGAATGGCTTAGAATTTCGTATAGTATTCGGTAAAAAGTTCAGACAGTTCCAGTCTCGTAACCTCACTCACTGTCTCGTTTCACATGCCTCAAATGTTTCTCAAATTTGCATATTATCCCGGCCGCCAAATTGTTTGTCATAATTTGGATGTTATTTTGTAGCTAACAACAATTTTCAAATCTCTAATGAATTATGTAAATCAGGTCGCTATCCGAGGCTTACGGTTATATAAGTGCTCAAAATAAATGAAGGGCCCTTATCCCTTTTGCGAAAGCGCACGGTGAAAAAGCGTATGGGCTTTATAAAGTTTATAACCTGCAATTTGGTTTCTATTGTTTTTTTTTGTAAATGATGGAGGAAAGTAAAAATGATCTTAGTCTTAAATGTAAAACTGGCAACAAAATCCCTTCTCAGGTAATTAATTTACTATTTTCGAATTCGACAAGTGGAGGGTAAAATTACATTAATAAAATTTCCGTTGAGTAGGTTGTAATATATGAGATTGGCCGAAACTGGCTCGCATTTTACTCTGTACCTGCTTATACATTGTTTGAGGAGAGTTAAATGAGTGGCATAGACGCCACTCTCCCAAAATTAAAACACCTTACCTCTGCTCTTCACTCTAATAATTTCCACATTAAAGATATTACACAAAATACACTTCACCACAACCTTCCAAAAGCAACCCCACACTTGGCACTGTTGTCCTTCCTTACATTTAAAATATCACTGACCACATATCGATATATAAGCAGGTACAGAGTAAAATGTGAGACAGTTTCAATCAAGCTCTGAAGAATCCAATAGGATGATTTGTGACACGTAAGCAAGTTCGAGTTAACAAAAACCGACGCAAGAGAAATCCAAAATTTTTATGAAAAGTATTACAAAATTGTAAGTTTGGCGCATTAATAACAATATTCGAAGTGTCCCTTTCTTCATTTTC